TCTTAGTATTTTTTATACATTATGCTAGCTGTCTCAGTCGGCTGTTTTCCAAACCTGAAGCAGTCTAGAGGAACATTATGAAGGCAGAGAAAGGCTACTGCTACAGGCACACTTCAGTGAGCAGTAATAGAGAAATCAGAACTATTAGAAATCAAAGGCACAGCAGAATGGAGTTATTTAGTAAAGGGGCATATAGCTTTCAGTGCCTGAGTAGTTTATTACAGTAAAACTGTTGTTAGTAACAATCATTTTGACATCAAAATTTTTTCAATGTATTTCATATATTGCTTAAGAAGACAGCAATGCATAAAAAGATTTTCTTCAGTAATTATTCCAAAAATTTTAAAAGCTCTTTAGAAGTTTAAGCTCCACAGAAAACTGGGATATCTAGAATGACTCATTCCCCAAATATTCAGTTAGGCAGTTCTTACTAAATTAGCCATGCATGTTTAGTCTCAAACCAATAGTTCTAGAATATAAATCTTGGTGAACAGAGTTGAAGTCTACTTATAGTGCTCTAAGTTTTAAGTCTGCATACTATATTTGAACACTTAGCAAGAACAAAATATTTAACATTTTCCTAAAATATATATAGTGATTTATACAAAGATAGTCAAGTTTTCTTTTATGGCTGAATTCATTAATGGAGTCCTAGAAACATCACCATATAAAAATTGAATTAATACTCTAAATGTATGGTAATCACATATTCAAACAAGTATTTTTAGCAAATTCTTAGTAAAGAACTAAGAAGCAAACAAAAGTATGCTGAGCAGCCAAACAGGTACCACAAAGTCCATGCACTTTACTGACAGAAAAGCCCCTTAAGCCTTGTTCAGTCTACTTACTCTTATTTTAGACACAATTCTAGCAAGCTTGGCAATCTGGTTTCTCACTCCACAGCAGATTAGAAGCAGCAAGTTAGGGGCCTAGTGCGGGAAGCAGGCACACAAGACAGCAGCAAAAAGTGACAACTGATTATAAGAGAAGATAGATAAACTGTGAAAAACAGATTCGACTCAAAAAGCACAGCAATGCAAGGTCATGTAGTAAAGGTGCATTCTGTAACTCAGCAGCCGCTAAGGGCGAATTTCTGTTTATCACCCGTGTTCTTAAAGATGACAAGGAAAATGCAGAGAAGTGGAAAGCATATTATAGAATATTTCTTGTAAAACTGTTAAAAAAATTAATGATTAAATGGATTTGCCTCGGTTAACTGAAAAATTAAAATATGCCTTAGCATATGATATAGTCAATGATGATATAAATAAACTGTTACTGTATTTAAGATATTTTCCCTTCTAAAATATTTGTAGTTTTCTGTTTTTTTTTTTCGGTTGCACCATGTGACATGTGGGATCTTAGTTCCCCAATGAGGGATCAAACCCATGGCCCCTGCAGTGGAAGCATGGAGTCCTAACCACTGAACCACCAGGGTGTTACTTGTAGCTCATTTCGTAATTCTCAGTGTGATTTGCATAAATGTCTTACAAATAGAATTGGAGGAATAAATCAATCTTTATATTTTTTCTGGTTATCCACTTTAGTTCATATAACAAGCTATACTACAGCCTTATGGTATTCAGCTCTTGTTTTGTTTGGATAGAGAAATAATATGCTTATGATTAAACCAGATCCATTGACCTTTTCTTCTCACATAATATATAATAATTTATCAGAATATTTCATATTTTACATTACTGATGATGTGAAGTAAAAGTTAGTCATCAGAGTCAAATGGACCTCTAGGGTTGCTTTTGATGAACACTCCAGTGACTTATAATTGTGTGAAATGTACCAGAACTTAATTCTTTTTATGCTTTAACATTAAAAACTTTACCATTTTTATTATGTGAATCAGAATATTACTATTTATTTTTCAAAAAAGTTGAGTTGAAAATTTTTTGACCTATTTTATTAACATATTTACTAACTGGTTACTAATATAAACAGGTCTTATTTTCCAGCCTCAAAAGTTTTATTTTCTTTTTAACTATGTCTGAGAAGTCAGAAGTCACAAATATCATTTAGCAATTCAGAGAATTTGGGTTTTGCTAGAAAAGCTCCCCATGATATTATTACTTCAGCTGCACTCATAGCTTTTCTTTTTTTTTTCACTCATAGCTTTTAAATGACAGAGATCTGGGATTTAAACTCAGGTCTGTCTTTCTATATTAAATCCTTAAAACCATATTCTTAAATTTCCATAGTAAGTTGCCTTAAGTGCATTTTTCCTGACTTTATCTTCAACAACTTCAGAAATTAAACTTGAGTCAACTGCATCAGTTTCTAATGAAATATATTCACAGGCTGTTAAGTACAATTGATTTTAATGAGGACTTAACAGACAACTTGTGAAAATAAGCAATGAACTGCCAATCCAAGGCAAGCAAGAGTCTGGCCCTAGATAGGCCAGATACGTAGACTTTCACTGAAGGCTTGGGGAAAAAAAGGATTTAAGATATGATAACTGTCACCAGATCATTTACTGCCATGACTTTCCTAACTGTAGGCAAAGGGCAAAAATCTTGTCTTTAAGAGTGACCTAAATGCCTCTTTTATGGAAACATTTATATTAAAAGCTCTCAGGATATTACTCCTTACAAGAATGTCAAAATACCACTGTAAAATTTGGAAAGCACAATTACAAGTTTTCCCCACAGAATATTTTCCCCAGAGGGCTTCTTTTGGACAGAGGATGACAGCTATAAAGCTAGTCAAAAGCCTAATAAGAAAAACTGAAATGTTCTGAGAAATGTAACAAAAATTATCTAGTTAAACACTGACTTATTTATTTCCTAAGGTATTCATGGCAAGAACAGTAAGGTCCTAGACAGAGTTGTTAGATTTTTACTGGGTATAAATATCACCCAGATCTTGTTCTGAAATGACCCCTAAGAATAACTGGGAGTATGGCCCCAAATCTGCATTAAAAAAAAAATAAGACCTACAGTTTATTCTTATGCAGGTGGCCCTTGGCTGGGGTGGGGGGAGGGGGCAGGGGAACAGAGGGACACTGACTGCTAGACTATTTTAAGGGAAAATTAGGAATTTTCACAGGTAAAATAATATTTTACCTTGGAAATATTCTAAGAAATGACAAATTTTGAAAACTACATAAAAAGAACAATTAAAATTCCAAGATCCTTATTATCATGATTTCAATAAGTAGAATTTTCATAGAACTAAGTAACAACTAGTGAATAAAACAGATCAGAATGGAAGGTTAAGAATTCCTGATTAAAAATAATAAAAAAAAGAATTCCTGATTAAAATTAGTCTTTCAAAATTAAAAAGTATCATTTTAGAAAGTATTAAATAAAACTGGCATAATATAATGAAGATATTTTCCCCAAACTGGTGTAGTAAAAAATATATATAATAATAGAATTAAAAATTATTAAACTCTATTTCTGTGTATAAGGTTATATAGATTAAGAGAAAGATTATCCAAGTTTTTCCATAATTCTAAATTCAAGGAAAAAAGGAGTTGGCAAATTCAAGTGAAAATAAACTCTAAGCATTATCATTTAAGAGTATAATAGTTACAACACAAAATTTTTTCTTGAAATTTAGGTATTTCTAAGTGTTAGACTAGGCCCACCCTAAGATATTGCTCCCAAGAGCTTAATTATGGGTAAGTCCCAGAATATTTGGCAACTGGCAGAATCACTTATAGTATATGAAATTGCTATTATTCATATAAAGTAGAACAAAGTTTTTCCTCAGGACCAAAAATAAATTTCCTTAGATTACTGGAAAAAAAAGAAATCCCCTTTGGTATACAAAAATTTACTCATTTGAAGTGCTAAGTTACAAGAATTTAATGTGTTTCTTAACTGAAAAGGCATACTAGATTCATAATTTCCTTTCTAGGACAGTAGAATAGCCTTTTCCTACATTTTCCTCAAATAACATCTGTAAACTATGTCAGTGCATAGGAGCTATAGGTAGTAAGAAACAATATACTCTTGAAAATATCACTCTTTAAAAATGTAGTCACAACACAAAACAGATGAAATTGAGACAATCTGGCAAGCAACCTCTTAGGAGGTAGTTTGTAAATAAAGTATTATGGAGATAAGGATGCTTTCCAGGAAGTCAACAGGATGTTTCACAAAGTTATTAAGGTGGAGAGTGTACAGCTTCAGGCTAGAAATTAGCAGCGTCATGACTTACTGATGTCAATGGCACCCATTATCTCTAGGGAAACTGATAAAAGAAAACTTTTTTATAAAGTTGGGGATGAGGCCTTGAACTAAAGAGATCCCACTTTGATATTATCTCTTTTAGTTGCAACAACAGAAAAAGATGAATACACAAAAAATTAAAAGGATAATTCCTAAAAAGGTGCAATGTTTTTCTTTACAAGATCATTAAGAAATCTTAAAATTAAGATACTGAATACACATACAAACAAGGACACGTGTTATAACCCAAGTACTTTTGAAACCATATTTTAGTTCCAAACCCCAGTACACATCAATTTCATGAATTCAACTTTTTTTATTCAGAACGTGTATCTTTAAGACTGGTATAAACAAAAATAAAATACAAACAACTTGTTATTGACATAATAGCTGCAGTTATTAACTGCGAGAATACAGTAAAAAGGAGCCTTACTAAATGTTAATGTTCTTGCAACAGAATTATCCCAGTCATTTTATGGTAGTAAATTCTGGCAAGAAATGATAAATTCATTTGTTATTAAAGATATTTAAAGAATTTCCAAGATCAATCAGTCATGCTGCAAATAAAACAGCAATTTATTCAAGAGAGCCCTTACCTTTCTCATTCTCCTAAAAGGTCTGCCATTTATAGGTAACTAGTATTTCCAGATCAGTTGTTCAAACCCAGGTTCTTCCTATAAATTCACATCTTAGCTTTAAATACAGTAAACTTACACTCATTTTCCCTTTCCAGTGGAATATCTAGTCTTGAAGTTAAAACACTTTCACAAAAAAAGAATAATTTAAAATCCTTCATGTAAATCTTGGTTCTTACTTTTCTTCTACCTCATTTTCATTTTCTTCTATTATTTGCTCTTCCTCCTCATCACCAAAAGTCTGTTCCTGCATGGTGGTAAAGGAGAGAGATCTAGCAGCCACTTCTGCAGCGAGGCCAGCAGTGAAAGTGAACTCAGGGGACAGCTGTAGCTGTGCCAGCCTCTGCTTGATGGAGGGCTGTGATGAGACCCTGGGGGCTGGGTGGGCAGGGGCCAGGCCATCTACATCTGCCTGCGGAGACTCATCTTCACGCTCACACTGGTAATGTGCTCTTTCTTCAGCTCCTTGGAAGAAGACTTCATTTGCAGAATTGTCTTTATTTTTACCATCTAGAGGGTATTCACATAAATACTCAGTCCTACTACTTATTTCATTGTCAGCTGTAGAGGTTTTATTATTTTCCTCTTCAGTATCATTTTTACCAACTTTCCCCATATCTGAATCCACTGATGGTTCTGAATTACTTATGGGTTCCACTGGGTCTACAGGAGACAAGGATTTCAACACAGCTTCAAAGGAAAAAAAAAAAAAGAAAGAAAAATAATAACTAAAAACCCAGCAGTGATTTAAGCTTTAATTTAAACTCCCAGTAGGTTTTTCTTATAAAGAACAATAAATAAAAGCTAAATAAAACTTTCTAGTAAATCAAAGTAAATTTATAAAACCAGAAAACTTTATAAGAGATAAAATACCTAAGACATGAAATGAGATGGGGTTTTGATAAATATTTTAAAACACTTCATGTATTCTCTTAATTCAAAACATTTAAGCAGTGTTTTCAAGGTGTGGCTCTTGAACCGACAGCATCAGTCAGCATCACCTAGGAATTTTTTAGAAAGGACAATTCCTCAGCTCCACCCCATACCGACTCAATCGGACGCTGACTGAGGACTGGCTATGGTTTCACAAGCCCTCGGCTGCGTTCCGACGCACACTGAACTTTGAGAGCCACTGGATGAAGAACAAGCAGCATGTTTTTCACCGGTATTAAGATAGATGAAACACCTAAGAGTAATCCAGGTAGTAATCCGATCATCATCAACACACACATATTTACAAGTTAAAACATCATGGAAAAAAATACAACATACAATTCAACTCACTTGTCAACCACCTCATAAGACCCTGATGACAGTAAAGCCATAACTTCTACATATTTTAATGCCACAGAAAAATATAAAATAAAATAAAACCTGTATTCCATGTCAACTACTGTACAAAACATAATACACAGATATTACATCCATACGGCAGAAGTTGTCCTTTCAAGGAAAATGAAGTTTTATTTAGCCCCTCTTGATGTTAGTAGGCAGTGGGTTGCTTGCTATGCAGTCTCTCCTCCCAGTATGAGGGGTTAGTACAATACAATATGTTATGAAGCATGACGGAAGAAAAAAAGTGCGTCTTGAAGATCTGGCGTTTATTTTAAAAAATAATTTGTAAAACGTGTCCATTTCCAAGAAACAGATCCCTAAGCTGCAGTAACTCCACTACAGAAGCAGCAACAACAGAAAAATATGGCCACAGCAGGTTCCAGTGTAGAATTTCCCTCTCTAATTCCATTCGGACTTTACCCCTGTAGGCAGAGATGAAAACAACTCTGGAAGATGTACTGAAACTTTTCATGGGAAAAGCATTTTAAGGTATCAGCTTTTTACTTATTTTCATAAACTAAGTTAGCATTATGCCTTTTCAAATGTAAACTATGAAAAGCACATACCTGAAAAAGAGACATTTCTCTCATCATTATATCTTTACCCATACTGTCAAGAGGATAGTTTTAAAGCCACATGAAAAAAATACTAAACAATAAAAAAGGATACAAGTTTATATACAGTGCTATTTTCAGACTTTGCATACAACTTTGTGTACAGTGTTAGCTGATAAATCTGTTAATTCTTAAAGAAAGCAACACATATTAGAAGTTGATTGATATTCCTGATTATTGTTAACTAAATGAGGGTGGGTAAGCTGTATAATGCATCAACGAACTAGTATGTTAACACTATGCTAGAACATAAACCTCCAGGACTGTACGGATTTCTGTTTCTTGATCTATGTGCCACGGATTCAATAGTAAACCATATCTTACTATCTACTTATTGAGTAATTTTCTAAATGAATACTGTGGGGGATAATAAAGCCCCTATTTAAGAAGAACACTGTAATTTAATTTCAGAAACAAACCAAAAAAAATAGAACAAACAGGAAACAACAGTGTCTAAAACCTAATACTCCCAATCTCTGATTTACGAAGGCCCGATATATGGACAAGCAGGTTACAGGAACTCTGCTTTGTTGCTCAAGAAATCCTTTCATTTCACAACAGCGTCCCCTGCATGTGAGGCTCTGTAGTACTGGGAGAGGTGGTAGGACTGGAACAGTAAGAAGGGGACTCATGGAGGAGAGACTGGTGGAGAGGATAGCATTCCAGTGAAAGGGATGAATACCATGAATACTTTTCATTAATGAAAAGAGCAAGCTTACAGAACCACTGTCTAATTAGATATAAGTAGAGGAAGATATCTATACTAGAATTAGTGGGGAAAATAATCTAATATGGTAGACTCATGATGGAGAGGCTTGAAACCAGAAATAGGAGTTTATATTAAATACAATAAAAAAGGGGAAACTGCTGTAGGTTTTTAAGACAGAGAGCTATTATTTATGTGCTGTTTGAGAAAAATCTAATCAGTTTTCAAGGATAGACAGAAGCAAACCTAAAGGCTTAGAAGCTATCTTCAAGAATAGCTTAGAAGAAAAAGGTATTGAAAATGCAAGTCAGCTAAGAGGCTATTATAATATGTGGGCATAGCTTATAAAGTGTGTGTTAGTAGCTCAGTCATGTCCGACTCTTTGCAACCCAATGGATGGCAGCCCACCAGGCTCCTCTGTCTATGAAATTCTCCAGGCAAGAATACTGGAGTGGAGAGCTATTCCCTTCTCCAGTGGATCTTCCCAACCCAGGGATTGAACCCGGACCTCCTACATTGCAGGCAGATTCTTTACCATGAGAACCACAAGGGAAGCCCAACCTTACAAGGACCTGGGCTATAAAGGGGATCAATGGGAAGAAAGAAGGACAAAAATCAAGAAGTATATATCTGGACAAGGGAGGATGGGAGGGCCCCAAAGAAGAAAAGAGAATGATGAGGAACCTTCCAGAGTAATCTATACACTTCTAGCGAAAAAGAGAAAATGAAGAGAAGGCAGTTGATTTTGAGGCTCCACATATACTAAAATAGAAGGGAAGTCCCACTCTACCTGCTTAGAAATCCAGAGGAATTAATTCTTGAATTAGGAATTAGCTAGTTTGATGATACTGTTGAGTACTAAGCTTCCCCTCTCTTCCTCCCCTGCTTCCTATGAAGTTCTAAAGAAAAGAAGGGTAGTTACATAAAGAGGTTCAAGGGTAATCTTAGGTATTACCAGTCATCCACTTTTGTACAAATCCAAATATGGAGACAGTGTGCACATAAGCATCTCTGCCTTCCATCTTCTAAAGTGTTCAAATCAATTATTATTTAGTAACCTAGTGATATAGCTAAGGGCCTAGTGTTTAATTCATTTGTTTCAACAGTGAACTGTTATTAATTTTGTGTTATATTAAAAATTATAATTGAGAACAGGGTTTAGAATCTTGAACTCACTGAAACAAATTTAGTAGAAAAATAGAGTGATGAAAAAGTCTGACTTCATATTCCCAATCTGATTATATAGTAACTCTTTTATTGACCAAACTGGATTATATAATGACTCTTTTATTGATCAAATTGATTTTGTGTCTGAAAGACAAAGTACTATACTTACTGGTGGGTCCCTAAAATGAACATCATAAGAATTCTGTGGCTAAGACTTACAGTTCAAGAAAAAAGAATCCCTTACATTGAAATAAACTTTTACTCTGAAGTCAGTGCTTACCATGATCACTAAACAGAAGCTGCTTCCACTTCTGCCTTTCTGCCTCTGATGCTTTAAATCCCAGCACAGATTTCAGTTCTTGGAGCACCCTCTTGGATTCTTCATGTTCACGCTTCTGTCTCTCTCTGTCTTCTTGAGACAAGTAATAAAAATCTTCCTTTCTGAAATCAGTGTCCATATCAATATCATCTACATAAGCTTCTAACTCCTGAAAATGAATAAAAGAAAAAGCACAGTACTTCAAGCAGACAGTTTTCTAGTAGCATCCACTGACTTGAACCTATCGAACTCCAAGATTAAAAAAAACAAGGACTCTTGGCATAGGTCACTAAGGCACAATTTGGGCATACAAAGCAAACACAGATAAACTGAAATCCTACTGAAACTTACTTGATACTAAAGAGAGTTGGGAATAAGAAAGTTTAACAACTTCACTTTATTTTTCTACTCTGATACCATTCAATAGATCTAGTCAAGATTCAAGCTATTAGCTATGTCAAAATCAATCAAAATTAGCAGGGCTGTTGGTTTACGGAGGTAGTCCGGCATGTTAGCTTTCTTTGGTAGACATTTGTGTTTCTTTCTGACTCTTCAGGAAGCTGGAACACTATTGCTAGGATTAGGGAACACCTCATCTGATGGTTCTCCTTATCTCTAAGGTGAAGGGTAGGATCCTTATTACTCAGCTGCTGTTGCAGTTATGGTTAAGGAAAATTATTTGGGATCCTCTAATCAGGTGTACGGAGAAGGCAATGGCACCCCACTCCAGTACTCTTGCCTGGAAACTCCCATGGACGGAGGAGCCTGGTAGGCTGCAGTCCATGGGGTCTCGAAGAGTCAGACACAACTGAGCACCTTCACTTTCACTTTTCACTTTCACACACTGGAGAAGGAAATGGCAACCCACTCCAGCGTTCTTGCCTGGAGGATCCCAGGGATAGAGGAGCCTGGTAGGCTGCCATCTATGAGGTTGCACAGAGTCGGACATGACTGAAGCGACTTAGCAGCAGCAGCAATCAGGTGTAACTGGGTCAGATCTGATTCAGAAGTTTGTGATAAAAGGAACAGGCATTTTAAGGAAACTATTCCAGCAAGGTTGGTGGCAGACCAAGTTTCTAGAGGTAGAGGTTCTGAATATAGTTTTCATTATTTAGCATAATGCAATGGTGTAGTGGCACCGGGTATAGTGGCAATGTCTATACCCAGTGACTTAGCAGTGACGCTGCCACTGGAACAGTTCTTTTGAGTGACTTTGGCTGTGTACCCCAGCCTGCTTTAAGTTCATTATCTGGCCCTCTGAAATATTCTGTCACCTAGCTAACGGTTTTAAATAAATTTCTTTGTTAAACTAAGTAGGGTTGGTCTCCCTTTGCAATTAAGAATACTGAATAAACAAAATGACGAAGAAAAGGAAGCTGCCTTCTTCAGAAGAAAAAGAAGTCTTCTTCAGAATAAGCAATCTGTTGTCAATATCTAACTTAATCATCTAAAAAGTATTTTTAAAGTGAGGTATAACATACGTCTTGACGATCTGCACTTTTGGGCTTCCGTGGTGGCTCAGAGGATAAAGAATCTGCCTGTAATGCAGGAGACCCAGGTTCAATCCTTGGGTTGGGAAGACCTCCTGGAGAAGGGAATGGCTACCCATCCCAGTATTCTTGCCTGGAGAATTCCATGGACCGAGGACCCTGGCAGGCTATAGTCCATTGTGTCGCAAAGAGACACAACCAAGTGTCTTTCACATAACATACACAGATGCATTCAAATGCACAAATCTTAAGTGTAAAGGATTTTTACATATGTACACATACTGGGAACCACCACTCTGATCAAGATAAAAACATTTCCAGCATCCCAGAAGGTACCTTTACCAATGTATTAATTTTTAATGCATTTTATCACTTTCGAGTATTTAAGAAATGGACAATTAGATATAAACAGGAAAATCTGCTGGTAGATTCAATGGATTAAAATTCAAGGCACTAAGAACTAATGATATGATATAAATTCAATACACTATGTTGTGATTTTTGAAGATCATTAGAAATATAAATTCAACAATTGTGCACAATTATTCAACAACTTTTCTGTGCTAAGTCGCTTCAGTCATGTCGAACTCTTTGCAACCCTAGACTGTAGCCCACCAGGCTCCTATGTCCATGGGATTTTCCAGGCAAGAATACTGGAGTGGGTTGCCATTTTCTTCTCCAGGGGATCTTCCTGACCTAGGGATTGAACTTGTGTCTCTTACATCTCCAGAATTTGCAGGCAGGTTCTTCACCACTAGCGCCACCTGAGAAGCCCTCAAAATGGGGTGCCATGCCCTCCTCCAGGGGATTTCCCCAAACCAGGATCGAATCCTGGATAATTTTAATTCAACAACTACCTATGTCAATTACAGAGAAAGGGAGGTAAGGTTTGTACACGAAACTCTTTAGAGGGAAAAAAAGCAATTTTCATCCTTACCTGTTCCTCAGGAATTGGGTCTTCGTCTGCAATGTGTAGAGGAGGCTGTGTCAAAGGTGCCACAGTGCAGCGTGGGTTCTCACACGCCATTTCAGGTTTACCTTAGAAAGGAACACAGAAATGAGTATCTACCAAAGTTAATAAAGAGCACCATCTGTAGACTTATAATTTAAATAAACTCTTGGAGAAGAAAACCTGTTTTATCTCTTCCTTTTTCACCTTACCATAGTACTTGGCACACAGGAGGCACTCTAAATACTTGAACAATCAACTTTACTCATGGCATAGGAGCAGACTCAAGACACACCATCATCACTCTTCCCTACGAAAAACAAACTTCAGTTCTGCACTGTACTTATACCATTTTTATTTTCAGGAGAAATGAGGATTGGAAATGAGTTTCATAAGTAAAAGATTGAAAAGATTATCTCAGGTGAGCTTAACTTCAATTAACTATTAAAAAACAGTGTTTGACATCTAATCTCGGGGTTATTTAGCCTCATATTCAGCTCTCTTTTATCATTATCTGTCTACTTTAAAGAAGTAGGGGTTAAGCCTCTAGATTTTTACCTTTCAAGAATATTGACAGATAAATGGTTTGGGTCAGAGTTGGGGGAGACTCTTGGCTAGTGTGGGCTGGTATGGTCAGAGCAATCTAGGCTATCAGGGGAGAACTCTCAGTGGGTATAATCAGCAGAAATGTGACTTAGCCCACAGTGTCAGGTGACTAGTTATATACAAAAGACTGCGTAAATAAATAAATATACTGAAACTAATGACAATCAAGCTTCTTATTATCACAAAAGGGAAGAACAAATACAGAGAAGGGGGAGGCCAGAATAAACTACGTGGTACGGACACTGAGTTGGAGGTACTGGTATGAATGCGTGGTTTATAACATATATGGACAGATAGATATACAAACAGAGACAGATGTGTGTGTACATGTGTATGAGTTGTGTGTGTGCTCAGTTGTGTCCAACTCTTTTGTGACCCGATGGACTGTAGCCTACACATGTGTATATGCAGATGTATTCCACAGTTCTGTACAATGACAAGTGGTAAAAGCAGTAATATCCCAGTGGCCATAAGCATCCCTAGCACTTAAGATCTTGGTTTCTAAAGGTCATTTTCCGTTAAAAAGAATGAGGCTTCTTGGAGACAAAGCAGATGTTAGGGCCGGAGGCAAAAGTCAACAAGTGCTTAAAGGATGATGGTGATAGGAACCACCTTGAATGGGCTCCCTCTGGTCCAACTGTGGACAACCTGAGCAACAATATAAAATAAAAGTAACTAATTATGATCTATTGAATAAAATAAGAATCCATACTAATATAAATGTGTAAATAAGTAGAAAGGGGGATGCTTAACCTTAAAATAGTGTCAACTAGTAAGTGTAGGTGGAAAACGGAATTAGAAAATTACCATTTGGCAACCACGACAGCAATATCCAACTGAAGCAAGAACTATCAATGGATGCTAAAAGTAGTGGGTGAAAACAATTAAGCTAATTTATTCACTTTTTGATACACAATTTTATGAGTTTAGATAAAGTCATGTAATCACCATTACCACTGATCACAATACAGAATAGTCTTATCACCTTAAAACATCTACTTAATGCTGCCTCTTTATACCCTATTCCTCCCTCAATATCCAACTCCTAGTAATCACTGATTTGTTTCTTATTTCTGTTAAACTTTATCATTTTGAGACTGTCCTGTAAATGGAATCACACAGTATGCAGTGATTTGAGCCTAACCTCTGCTGATTAGCATAGTGCATCCTCCATCTTACTGATAGAGCAGTGGTAGTTCATTTCTTTTTTATTTCTGAGTAGTATTCCACTGTATGGAAGGATGTAACGATTTATGTATTCATCAGCTGAAGGACCTTGGGTTATTTCCTGATTCTGTTGGTATACTGTGGGTATGCAGAAGGATGTCTGATTTTTAAAAATATGAACAGAAGTACTTAGGGGCAACGGGATTTCATGTCTGTTTCTTAACTCAAATGGTTTAGAAATAATACCACCAAGAGAATTTATAGACAATACACACACAAACATGGTAGAATGTAAAAAACTGGGGAACCTGGAATTAAGGGGTACTTAAAATTATTCTTGTGTCCTATAATTTTGAAATAATTAAAATAAAAAGATATAGCTAACTAAAGCACCTGTTTCTTAAAAAATTTAAACCCAACAATTTTATTTCAAGTTGTGTATCCAAGGCTATGATGGACATTTTAGTGAGAAAAGTTTCTGAATACTTGTATCTTAGTTCATATCATTACCACCTATGAGCATATGCCCAATGATTTCTCACCTGCCCAATGATTTGAGACTGTTTTAACAATCATGTTCAAGTGACTAAGATTCAATATCTTATAGTACGCTAAGGGAGGCATGAATGGGATGCATCTTCTAACACCCACTGGTCTCCTGAGTGTTTCTATTTATAAAAAATACACCCGAAAGCTCTAGAGTTGTCATCTAAAAAAGTTTAATATGCATAAATATTTGCACATACTAAAAACCCTTGGCAAATCTATCTTTTGGAGAATTATTCACCATTTACATTTGAGGAAATCTACAGATAGTATATCAGTAATTAGCTTGTTTACATTTCCTTTGAAAAATGCTAATACTTTCACTATCTAAGGACTTGTTCAGTTTGCTCAAGACAGTAAACAAAGTATTACAGATCTAGCTATAAACAAAACAATGACTTAACACGATGATAAAGCATTACTCACCTTTGGCAATAATACAATTTTTTATTTTTTAATTGAAGGATAATTGCTTTACAGAATTTTGTTGTTTTCTGTCAAACATCAACATGATCAGCCATAGGTGTACATATGTCCCCTCCCTCTTAACATCATAATAAAGGTCCAAGGGATAAACATGTTAGACTTATAGCACAAGTTTAAAGATAAATATGCCAAACATTTACAATTAAATTAGTGAAGTTAATGAAGTATTTTATCTTAAAAGTAAATTCAATTTCTTGTCCCTGACTATCAAAACTCATTATTACCCTAACTGGAAAAGAGTTTTTGGAATTTCTAATAATGGAATAATACTATTAAAATCTATTTTTTTAATTAAAATTTTTAAAAAGGAAGTATATGATTCAGGAAAACTTCAAATCATATTCATTTTTTATTTACAAAAATAAGAGCCAACACTTTATATTCAGTGTCAATTTGCACATATAAGTTCACCTTTTTTTTAGACAACTAGGAAATTTTATCAAGTCAGTTTTATCATGGAGACAAGAAGCAACCGTGATAAAGCCCTGCTGCGGAGTAAGGACGTCTGCAAAGTGTATGCAAAGGAGCTCTCATAGGTACCTTTTTTATCTGTATTTCTTCGTAGCAATTTGTCCACTTGAGAAATGGCCTCTTCCCAGCAATTGTTGCTTGCTTGAACATGGGGCTGAATTAACTTTAATTTCTGTTCTAGGATTTGGTAAGCTTCTGACACTAGTTCTTGTGTTTCTTTAGTACAGACAAGCTTTTCAAGTTCATCCTCAAGAATTATTACCCTGAGTAATAAAGAAAAACAGAAACAGATTTCTAAACTATGAAACAAAATGTATAATTCACAAAGTTTATTTTAAAAAAAAGTTTGTAAGATGAAAAAAAGTTCTGAATGTGGTAGGTGGTGATGGTTGCACAACAGTATATATGTACTTAAGGCCACTTACCTGTAGCTTAAAAATGGTTAAGTGGTAAATTTTACATTATATGCATGCATCAGTTTTTTAAAAAGTTTATAAACAATATCATATATTTCTTCAACAAATATTTCTTGCATATATACCAGGCATTTTCACAAACTAAAAAGATAAGTTAAACCTATTTCCTACTTATAAGAAACTTAAATCACATCAGAGAAGTGATACAAATATAATATTATAAAAAATTAAAACTAACATTTTATTTCCAAAAGATGAGAAATTAGGTCTAGAGAGTTGAAGAAACTTGCCCAGGTCATACAGCTGGTAAACTGTAAAGCTGGGTTACATTCGGGCACAAAATGACAGAGAAAGCTGGGACTAAAAGAATTCAGAAGAGGAGCAAGTTACTGTGCTAAGGAAGAGGTACTTCTGAGGCTAGCACTGAAGGATGGAGAAAACCTGAGCATGTACAGAAGATGAAGAAGGTCATTCTAGAGTATGGAAAATAGCCTTTATACTTGGCTGGACTGAGGTAAAGGAGTGAGAAATAAAGAGCAGACTGCAGTCAGTTTACAGCAAACCCTTTCTGCAAAATGTTTTATACAGACTTCAGTCTAAGCTGCTACACTCACTCCAAATCCAGGGAAATTTTTCAGATAAGTAAGAAAGCAAATATAAGGCTCAGAAAGGCAGCAGGCACTCCACAGACCAGGAGAAAACTTACAGAGTTAACGTCCTCCCGTAGGCAAGTGAGAGTGGGAACAGCAAATGGGACAAGCCAGAGGGAGGAATGAAGTGCATTTAAGTTCTTAGGTAACACTTTTCAAAGCTGTGTGTGGCAGTGCTAAAGAACAAATCAGATGTGATGCTTTGTGACTGGACTGCTCTCTAGTGAAAGTATTTTGAAGGGTGATAACAGTAGCATACATGAAATCTTTCATTTTTTATCAGGAAACATATCTCCCATGTATTTTCCTTAATCCCTGGCTAAGGTACAAAGCCCTTCTTTGTCCTTTTCATGTCCATCCAGTGTAGTACTTTTTCTTCCCAAAGCATCTTCCTCATGCTAATGCATTTTATTACACCCTGTACATTTCTAATTCCATTGCCAAACATTAATTCTTGATAGACCCTGGTTTGCCTAACACAACCTGAAATCCACTGAAATCTTGTTTTCCTCTCATGATGATCCACCTTTTGCCAGCCACTCAAATGGACAGCCTTATCTCCCATATTCCCAGTGGGAAATAGCTTTCTTAGAACAGCAACAACAGACCAATGGAACATCGCCACCTCATAGTTTCTTAATTGTTCCCTATGCCTCAACCTTTATATTAGTATTATATACCTATCTCAGACCTTGAATTGATGGTTAAAAACTTATCTTTTTAAAATGTCTTTCTGACCTTAATTTCCTATCTGTGTACATCACATCCTTCTTTACTCTGGTAAATTAGCCTTTTGATTTTACTGAGACTTCAAGTCCTTTTGATGCATTTTCTTATCTTTGAAAATCAACTGCTGCCCTCCCCCTTCCACATCTTGCTTGGTATCCAGGATCAAGTACATCACCTACAATCTTCTCATTAAATTCCTCCAAACTTCCCCTGATTACAACACAACATGAACCAACTCATTCATTTGATCCAGTCCTATACTATGAGTATCTGTTATAGAAAAATTTCACTGAAATGACTGGACACTGCATTTTACTAAGGTGGAGTACTAACAATACCATGTGAAGTAGAAGATCAACAAATACAAACTATGGATCCTACATTTTACTATTCAAATGGGGCCAAAAAACTTGTTCTATGCTATAGAAAAATGTCCAAACCTCTTATTCAGAAAAACAGCAATATGATACTCTTCAACTACATATAATAATACTTCTAGGCTTTTGTCCTATCTTTCTAGATTTTCTGTTGAAATAAAAAAAAGTAAAAACTAAAAAAAAAACAAAAAAGTAAAAGCTATAAACGAATCCCCCAAATTACAGTACTAACAAGTCAGTTTGTTACATCTGTAGGTTGAAAGCATCCTTTAGGCTGCGTGTCTCAATTTTGTTGCTTCTTTTCAGCTAGGACACAAGCCAACAACCACAATGGCACAAGAATGAAGCCTGCTAATCATGGGGTGGTTTCCTTACATGGCTTCTAAACTTACTCATTCAGTAATGCTTTCAGATGCAGCTGCAAGCTGCGTACTGCCGTGTGAACATTACTCAGTTCTCTTGACTTCTGCTGAGTTCTGGATAAACGTTGGGGTACCGACTGGTGCTGAGTTTCAAAGTACCGGTAGAACTCATAGCTGCGTTTAAGTTCTTCCAAACAGGCAGAATGAGCATGAGGTAGACCTTGAGTCACATCAGATAAGATACGATGAGGCAAAAGTGCTGGAGTAAGTAACGGCCCAGGAGGTGAATATGTTGTAGAAAGTAACAGGGCTAGCCGCCTAAAGAACTCTGAACTCTGTGCCACCCAGAGCTGAAACAGGACCTAAAAAGAAAAAAAAAGAAAAAAAAGAACAAGATCAATACAAAAATATTGGCCAATATTCAAAACAAACTACAAATTTATTTATCTTAACTTCTGGATTAAACTTTTCACTTTATCCTAAGTAATGAAAATAGCGGAGTTTGGAACTAACTCTAAGAGTAGCAAAGAATGCATGCATGCGTGCTAAGTCGCTTTTGTCATGTCCAACTCCTTGTGATCCTATGGACAGTAGCTCACCAGGCTTCTCTGTCCAAGGGATTCTCCAGGCAAGAATACTGGAGTGGTTTGCCATGCCCTTCTCCAAGGGATCTTCCAGATCAAGGGATCAAACCCACATCTCCTTTGGCTCCTGCACTGGAAGTGATTCTTTACCACCAGCGAGAACTGAGAAGCCCATGTTATATCAAATTATGTAGTCATGGCACATACAAACTTCTGATCCTATAGCAGCTTATACCAGTTTATAATTTAAGTGTAATTCTGTCCTAAAAGAGAAATGCTGATGGAATGAGACACACCTAATTAGAAATGAATGTTCTTTGATGAATTATTTTTTTTTAAATGTATACAAAGGAGAAACGGAGAGAGCACAAATGATGGATCTGTGTAAGTCAAAAGAAATAAGTCATTGATGGATCCAGAGTTTGGGGTTCAAAATTATACCAATATTTTGGCCTAGGAAATAGCTAAGAAATAACATAAAAATCAGTTCCAGAGTAATCATACTCAGGAATGTCTGGCATGAGAAACTACAACAACCATTCTTGAAAGACACATCTTGATCCCGGCAGCAAAGGATTCCTAGAAATAGTCCTGTTCAAGAGGACAATATCAAACATACAAATACAATCTAGTGTGAAAAGGAGTTAGCAGATAACAGAGAGGATTGAACCACTTTGGATAATATAGATTCTAGTTTTTTATAAACATGAAAATGGACATTATTTAAACTGGTATATTAAATGAATTTTAAAATTATGCAAATAATGAATTAAGATAATTTAATGTAAACCTATTTTACTATTAACATTTTTTTTAATAAGCAAGATCAAAATTCCAAATCACTAAAGATACACTAAGAATTCTTAAACATAAATACATGCTATTGCAGAAGTCTGACTTAACCATTAAATTTTATCACTAAAATAATTTTCCTAGAAATTCTCTGGTGGTCCCGTGGCCGTCTTCATGCTTTTACTGCTGTGGCCAAGGTTCAATCCCTGGTTGGGAAACTAAGATCCCACAAGTTGTGCAGTGTGGCCCCCCGCCCCAAATTTTTCTTTATCCCTTTATTTGTTCATTCAACAAGTGTTTTTTCAGCATCGATGTGCCAAGCAGTATTATAGGTTATAGGATATAGAAAAATATCCCTGCCCTGATGGAGCTTTTGTTCAAGTAGTTGGGCAACAGATATTAACAAGTAAAAGATAAGTTTCTTGGCTTACGGGGTATGGGGAGAATATAGCAGAGAAGGGGAACAGCAAATGTGCATTTGTGTGTGTATATGTGAGGGGAAGAGGAAGGAGAGAAAAGCAGAGGGACACAATAAGCAAGGGGGAGACTGTGTAATTGGATTTTTACTCTAAGAGAAACGGGGAGCTACTGAACATTTCTAAGCATTAGTTATATGATTCAAGTTAAGCTTTAACAAGATCATTCTGGCTGCTGTGTTGATAGATAATAGGGAGGTGAGCAGAAGACAGGAGGTTACTGCAATAATGCAGGTTGGAGTTAACAAGGTACCTTGCAGACAATGAGGAGTGGTAAGAGGTAGTTCAGTTCAGTTCAGTCGCTCAGTTGTGTTCGACTCTGCAACCCCATGGACTGAAGGCTTCCTTGTCTACCACCAACTCCTGGAGTTTACTCAAACTCATGCCCATCAAGTTGGTGATGCCATCCAACCATCTCATCCTCTGTCGCCCCCTTCTCCTCCTGCCTTCAATCTTGCCCAGCATCAGGGTCTTTTCAAATGAGTAAGTTCTTCACATCAAGTGGCCAAAGTATTGGAGTTTCAGCTTCAGCATCCGTCCTTCCAATGAGTATTCAGGACTGATTTCCTTTAGGATGGACTGGCTGGATCTCCCTGCAGTCCAAGGGATTCTCAAGAGTCTTCTCCAACACCACAGTTCAAAAGCATCAATTCTTCAGTGCTCAGCTTTCTTTATAGTACAACTCTCACATCCATACATGACTACTGGAAAAACCAGAGCTTTGACTACACGGACCTTTCTCGGCAAAGTAATGTCTCTGCTTTTCAACATGCTGTCTAGGTTGGTCACAACTGTTCTTCCAAGGAGCAAGCATCTTTTAATTTCATGGCTGCAATCACCATCTGCAGTGATTTGGGAGCCCCCCAAAGACAAAGTCTGGCACTGTTTCCCCATCTATTTGCCATGAAATGATGGGACCAGATGCCAGGATCTTAGTTTTCTGAATGTTGAGATTTAAGCCAACTTTTTCACTCTCTTCTTTCACTTTCATCAAGAGGCTCTTTAGTTCTTCTTTGCTTTCTGCTATAAGGATGGTGTCATCTGCATATCTGAGGTTATTGATATTTCTCCCAGCAATCTTGATTCCAGCTTGTGCTGGACTCCAGCCCAGTATTTCTCATGATGTACTCTGCATATAAGTTAAATTAGCAGGGTGGTAATATACAGCCTTGACGTACTCCTTTCCCGATTAGGAACCAATCTGTTGTTCCATGTTCAGTTCTAACTGTTGCTTCCTGACCTGCATACAGATTTCTCAGGAGGCAGGTCAGGTGGTCTGGTATTCCCATCTCTTGAAGAACTTTCCAGTTAGTTGTGATCCACACAGTCAAAGGCTTTGGCATAGTCAATAAAGCAGAAGTAGATGTTTTTCTGGAACTCTCTTGCTTTTTCGATGATCCAACGGATGTTGGCAATTTGATCTCTGGTTCCTCTGCCTTTTCTAAATCCAGCTTGAACATTTGGAACTTCACAGTTCAACTTCACGGTTAACGTACTGTTGAAGCCTGGCTTGGAGAATTTTGAGCATTACTTTACTAGCGTGTGAGATGAGTGCAATTGTGCAATAGTTTGAGCATTCTTTGACATTGTCTTTCTTTGGGATTGGAATGAAAACTGAGCTTTTCCAGTCCTATGGCCACTGCTGAGTTTCCCAATTTTCTGGCATATCGACTGCAGCATTTTCACAGCATCATCTTTCAGGATTTCAAATAGCTCAACTGGAATTCCATCATCCCCACTAGCTTTGTTCATAGTGACGCTTCCTAAGACCCACTTGACTTCTCATTCCAGGATGTCTGGCTCTAGGTGAGTGATCATATCATTGTGATTTCTAGGTCATGAAGATCTTTTTTGTATAGTTCTTCTGTGTATTCTTGGCACCTCTTCTTAATATCTCTGTTTCTGTTACGTCCATACCATTTCTGTCTTTTATTGAGCCCATCTTTGCATGAAATGTTCCCTTGGTATCTTTAATTTTCTTGAAGAGATCTCTAGTCTTTCTCATTCTATTGTTTTCCTCTATTTCCTTGCATTGATCACTGAGGAAGGCTTTCTTATCTCTCCTTGCTATTCTTTGGAACTCTGCATTCAAATGGGTATATCTTTCCTTTTCTCCTTTGCTTCTCTTCTTTTCACAGCTATCTGTAAGGGCTTCTCCTGTCTGAGGCGGCCTTACAAATTTGTCTTTTTGCATTCCTTTTTCTTGGGCGTGGTCTTGATCCCTGCCTCCTGTACAAAGTCATGAACCTCCATCCACAGTTCTTCAGGCACTCTGTCTATGAGATCTAATCCTTTGAATGTATTTGTCATTTCCACTGTATAGTCATAAGGGATTTGATTTAGATCATACCTGAATGGAATGGTCTTCCCTACTTTCTTCAATTTGAGCCTAAATTTGGCAATAAGGAGTTCATGATCTGAGCCACAGTCAGCTTCTTGTCTTGTTTTTGTGGATGGTATAGAGCTTCTCCATCTTTGGCTGCAAAGAATATAATCAATCTGATTTCAGTGTTGACCATCTGGTGATGTCCTTGTGTAGTGTCTTCTCTTGTGTTGTTGGAAGAGGGTGTTTGCTATGACCAGTGTGTTCTCTTGGCAAAACTTTATTAGCCTTTGCCCTACTTTATTCTTACTCCAAGGCCAAATTTATCTGTTACTCCAGCTATTTCTTGACTTCCACTTTTGCATTCCAGTCCCCTATAATGAAAAGGACATCTTTTTTGGGTGTAAGTTCTAGAAGGCTTTGTAGGTCTTCATAGAACCATTCAACTTCAGTAAGAGGTAAGCAGAGGGCAAACTCTGGATACATAAAGAATGGACAGAATCTCTTGACAGATGGTTTATGAGTAGAAGTGTTAACAAGGATGATTCTAGGGTTTCAGATTCTAGTTGTTTCAGACAACTAAAAAATCAAGTTGGCATAGCTTATTGCCCTAAAAAAAAAAGACGATTATCTAATCATTGCCCAGCTATCCAATTAAACCAAAACTCAGAAATACACGGTATTTCCTGTTTGTTCTTTGAATAAGGGAAGCTGCTCTGGATGAGGGGATAAGCATAGTTTATGGGCAATTAGAAAATGCTGTTTTAAAGCATTATCTGGCAGTCTCCTGCAGTCAATTGGTTAGGAGTTGGCACTTTCACTGCTGAGGCCCTGGTTCGATCCCTGGTCAGTGAACTAAGATCCTGCAAGCCAAGCAGCAATATGAAAAAAAAAAAAAAAGGATTTTCACAAACTGTAGACTTGCTTTTTAAAGCAGGAAATATACTCTTTATAATAATTTTACGAAAAACTAATTAAAATTTTGAACTAAGGAAAAAAGGGGGGTAAGGACTTTGTACTAGATATTGCACATATGTCTCTCCTCAGGATACAGTTAGGAAGTTTCTTTCCTTTCCAAAGATACAGCATTTGCTATTGCTAAGCTCTCCTGAACACCAGACTACCTTACTTGCCTCTTGAGAAATCTGTATGTAGATCAAGAAGCAACATTTAGAACTGGACATGAAACAGTGCACTGGTTCCAAACTGGGAAAGGAGTACGTCAAGGCTTGTATGTCACCCTGCTTATTTAACTTGTATGCAAAGTACATCATATGAAATGCCAGGCTGGATGAAGCACAAGCTGGAATCAAGAGTGCTAGGAGAAAGATCAATAACCTCAGACATGCAGATGACATCACACTTATGGCAGAAAGTGAAGAGGAACTCAAGAGCCTCTTGATGAAAATGAACGACGAGAGTGAAAAAGTTGGCTTAAAACTCAACATTCAAAAACTAAGATCATGGCAACCGGTCCCATCACTTCATGGCAAACAGATGGGAAAACAATGGAAACAAGTGACAAACTTTATTTTCGTGGGCTCCAAAATCACTGTAGATGGTGACTGCAGCCATGAAATTAAAAGACACTTGCTTTTATGGAAGCAAGCGCCTTGGAAGAAAAGCTGTGGCAAACCTAGACACCCTATTGAAAAGCAGAGACATTACTTTGCCGATAAAGGTCCATATAGTTAAAGCTATGGTTTTTCCAGTAATCATGCATGGATGTGAGAGTTGAACCATAAAGTAGGTTGAGTGCTGAAGAATTGATGCTTTTGAACTGTGGTGCTGAAGAAGACTCTTGAGAGTCCCTTGGACTGCAATCAAACTAGTCAGTCAAAGGAAATTAGACCTGAATATTCTTTGGAAGGACTGATACTGAAGCTAAATCTCCAATACTTTGACCACCTGATGCAAAGAACTGACTCATTAGAAAAGACCCTGATGCTGGGAAAGATTGAAGGCTAGAGAAGAAGGGGACAACAGAGGATGAAATAGTTGGATGGCATCACCAACTGGATGGATATGAATTTGAGCAAAGTCCAGGAGTTAGTAATTGACAGGGAAGCCTGGTGTCTGCAATCCATGGGGTCGCAGAGAACTGGACACTACTGAGTGACTGAACTGAACTTCTCCTGAGAGAAGATATGCAAGCAATTGAAAAAACAAAACAAAACAAAACATATTTTCTTAAATGGACATAATGAAGATTACAAAGGAAAACAAAAGAATCTGATTTATTTGTAAACCATCTTTCACTACATTTTTTTAAAAAAGTTTTAATTAGTGTTGCTCTTTTGAGAAATAATTTTCTTTTAAAATTTAGCTTATAAAATTTACTTTGAAATTCTTTATCTGAATATAATGACAACCGAACACGGTGGCCCTACACAGTTTTTGAACATTACAGGAAGTTTTAGCAGTTTATAAAGTAAATCTCAAGATAGGCCACTTTTTGAGTCTGATGTTCCTGGTAACAATGGAACACAATCATCAAGTTTAGTTATATATTAGTTATATGTCAAAATAAAACAAAATTAAAACACTAAAGTTTCATCTGTAAAATAATATAGGTAAGCAAAAAGGATCCAGCTACATCCTTCATCATAGTATGTGGAGGAGAAAAGTGAACACATCCCACATTTTAGAATAGGTCATGTCAGATGGAATTAAAAAAATCAGCTAACATTTATTAATCACTTACTCAGTCCCAGGTACTGGACTGGCAAATATTTAATTCTTTAGTGATAAGCATTATCTCATTTTTATGAACACAGAAATGACGACTTGTTCAAGACCACATCAATAGTCAGGTGGTAAGAGTCAAACAAAGAAGTCTGACCCCTAGAGACCCACTTTTTCTCTTTGCTGCCTGTACTTGGGCCAAATATAATCCAGGATTTAATAAGCTTTTTTAAAAGCATAGAAAAATAGGGAAATAACGGAGACATCTTGATGAGTAAAGAAAACATTATTTAAAAAATAAAGAAATATGACCGTAATTCACTCTTCAAATCCTTCTTAAAGAGTAACAGCCATTACCATTTTGGGTTAACCAAGCTTTGTTGTAGGTATTTTGTATGTTTTCTCATTTAATCTAAAACCGTGTAGGGCAGGTATGATAATCCCTTTTTACAGCTTAGTAAATTCAAAGAATAACTCATTCAAGTCAAGCAACTAGTCAATGTCAGGGCTAAACTGTAAACCCACATCTGCTTAATTCCAAAGTTCCTGATTTTTCATCATTAAGAATCTCCCGAACTGTCCTTTGAAAATAACTATTTCCATTCACAGAATAAAGCATGGTCATGGTACTGAATTTAGAAGTAAATGCAATTACCTACAGTACAACCACCCTAACAATAGCTAATTGTATATTAGTATTTTCTCACAGTCTTTTTAAAAAGAGTTATGGCAATACTAAATACATATTTACTTACTCTGATTGCTGCACTGGTTTGTCCAACTTCTACACAGTCTTTATAAGCAAGTCGCAGCTATCATACAGCGCCCCTCTTGGCTCCAACATAATCATGCAGCTACTCCTCTGCTGCTGCACGCAAGGCAGTGTTCCACTGCTAACTACCATGAGCAGAGCTAATAAGCAACTTGGTACGTAACGCTTTAAGATACTTGAAATAATTTCCTTAAGAAAGATTTGCGTAAGTGGAATTACTAATTCTATCATTTTTAAGGTACTTTAAATGTCAAAGTGCATTCTGAAACAAATTTTAAGGAACTTAAGGTAAACCAAAAAGAAAATTATTGTAGTGGCCTTGATAAGAATGATGGCAGCTATGACTAGAATGGTGGGAAATGACATTAAAAAAAGGGAAAGAGTTTAAAATGTAGTTTAAAGGTGGAACCAGCACAAAAATCTACTGATAGCCTATATGTGAGGGGTAAAAAGAGGGATAAGGATGATAGTATACAGATATATAGCTTAATAAGTTGTATGGTGACACTTATTAAGATGGATTAGAATGACATTAAAAATAAGTCAATGTGAATTTCAAGTAACCACAAAGAAAAAGAGGAGAATTAGAACTTTTATGAGGATCTGAAAATTTCAAAGATGTGAAAGTTCATAGGGTCTCAAAACAAAATGGATGTTGAAAAATACGCTGTTAATTACACTTGTACTGATTTCCACAGTATCAAGGGAAGTTTAAAGACTAGGAATAAAGAAATATCGAAGTGGGGTTTGCTAAATACTGAAAATGAACTTAAAGACATTTGGACTGACTTTCAAAAAATATTGCTGGAATCTTACAATACATACAGTTTTATAACATTCTTTAACTTGTTTTTTCATGTTATTTTTTTCTACTACTAACTCCAAAACAGTTCAGTAAATGAGTGCAGCAAATCATTCCAAATCTCATATCACTGAACTTTTCCTTTGCTCCCAATATTTGCTGCTGGAGTGATATTATGAACACACTTTGAATGTATCTTTGATTACTTTCTGAGATGCATCTATAAGCTAAAGCTGATGGAGTGAAGGGCACACTCTTCTGTAAAGACTGGTGCTCACTGCTGAAGTGAGTAGCTGACACTTTGACCGCTGGTGCGAGTTCTCTCAATGTCTTCACTGACAGTGACTACTATCAACTTTCAAAATCCTTGGCAAAATACTTACTTGTTTGTCTTTGTTACTTTCATTAGTAATAAGATTGAAATTTTTTATTATATTTATTGGCCATTTCTATTTCTTCTTTTATGAACTGGCAATTCATGGACCTGACCAATCTTCAATAGGTTTTACACATCTTAGTGTTCTTTATATAGGAAGAATCCAAGCCCTTTGCTTATAAATCACTGAATTCTACCCCCGCCCTGCCCCGAGCTTATTCACATTTAAAGGATTCAGCATTTAAAGTTTAGAAGTTTATATAGTCAAATATATCCTCTTAAGAGACTTTTAACATATGAAAAAATTCTTGTTCTAAACAAGCATTTGGAAAATTTTCCAAGGGGTAGATCTTGTAAGTTCTTTACCCATGTTTGTTGAAACAAATGGCCAGTAAATAAAATCACACACTGGGTTCCTATTAAACTCATTTATCTTCAAATTCTAATTTAATTCAAGAAATACACATATTAAAAATTTTAAGTATTTTAACATCGGAATATAAGGATTTCCTCATCCAATCTTTATGATACTTTCCATTTTTAAAGGCAGCTTCAAAAACACTAGTAAGACTACTATGGTAATGGTATCCAGCAAACAACAAAAGTGCTGGGACAGGTGTACCAGGTACATTCAGAAAGCACAAACACAACCCAAATGTATCTATCGTTTCTTTAGCCTTTCAGGTCCATGAATGGATTACCTTCAACGCAGGCAGGCTGAAGCCATCTGTAAGGTTATGTGCTTCCTCTTCTGAAATCTGCTCTTCACTAAGTCCAAGGCCCAGCTCCTTAAAAGGTACCACACAGATGTAGTTGGTTACATTGTCACTCTCGGAGTTCAGGGGGTAGGTTAAATTAGGTTAAGGCAATCAACAAAGCCTTTTCATTAAAGTATAAAGGGTACAATTTTTCAGTCACTAAATTGTGTCCAACTCTTTGAGACCCCATGAACTGCAGGATGCCAGGCTTCCCTGTTCTTCACTATCTCCCTGAGTTTGCTCAAACTCATATTCATTGAGTCAGTGATGCTATCCAACCATCTCATCCTCTGTTGCCCCCTTTTCCTCTTGCCCTCAATTTTTCCCACCATCACGGTCTTTTCCAATTAGTCAGCTATTAGATTTTAAGATTAGTTTCTTTTTAAAAAGTGATGTAAATCTCCTCAAAGTTCAGAAAAAAGATAAGTAAAGGTATCTGAACTTGGAGATTTACATCAGTTTAAAAAGAAATTAATCTTAAAATCTAATAGATTAATATACCTCAAATCGTATAGGAAATGTGAGAATAAAATATAAGTAGACAGTTAAAAGTTCAACTCTTCACAATTGCTAACTAAAGTACTGATTTAGTTACTTTTGACACGTGCCTTTTGAAACTGTATTATGTACTTGACTGCATGGCTCAGGCCCTTACTATAGCAAATACTGCTCTTTACCTCCCCGTTTGCATACTGCAGGACATCATTACCTGATGATGATGACCTGAAAACATACAACTACTGATACAGCACTAAGCCTGTTGCATCCAGGTTGTCTGACACAGGCTGCTGTTCCTCTGTCTCCCTCCTCCTCATGGCAGCTACCAACTTTACTATGTGATTTCCTCCTCTTCAATTGCTTTTGTAAAGAATCATATCCATACAATTCTTGATATTAATATTTGAACTATTCATGCATTTATAGCATATTCCTATTTGGTCATATTAATCTTTTGATACAGTACTAGGCCAAATTTATAAATATTCTGTTTAAATATTTATACCTCCATTGGCAAGACTGGTCTGTAGTTTTTATTCTGTGTATTACATCATGTTTTAGAAGTGAGATTATAGTATCTGCATAAATAAAATGATGTAGAGTAGCTTTCTATCTAACCTTTTCTATGGTCTAAAATAGTTTTTTGTTAAATATAAAACCATCTGGACCAGGGAGTTAAACATTTTTTTCATTCACTTAGTTTTTGAATAAGTAAGGTATTTATGGGATTAAAATTTTACAAGGTATTGTAAAAACTGCTTGCTACCTCTCTCTCTCAGCCACCTAGTTCCTCTACCCAAAAGCAAAGGCAACCACTTACCAGTATCTATGTATACTTTAAGGTATTTTATGATTGTAGACATACATAAAAGGAAATCTAAACATAAATATGTCTGTGGGTATACATACGAATATATACACATGCATACACACACTTCTTTATCCCCTCATACACACATATTATGCTCCCTTCTATGTACAAATGTAAGGGTAGCATAAATACTGCTGTGTGCACTTCGTGTATTTAACAACATTCCACAACAGTATACCAAGAACTTTTACTACTTTATAGCTGCATATTTTCCCACTGCTCTTATATATAACCAAGTGTGTTTTCTTTTTTACTGGAATTCTCTTTAATTATATGTCTAATCTCCAGTTTCTTAATTCTTCCTAGGTCAGTTTTTGAGATTTGTATTTTGATATGAAATGACCCATTTCCCCCTACAGTTTCAAAGTGACGGCCAGAAAGTCACATATGTGCCCAGTCGCCCTTCCCTTATATAGTAATTTTAGCTTCTTGCTCTGTTCTTGTTACTAACCTTGTGTATTTTTATTCTTTTTACTTTGAACAGGCATGCTAGGGTTTATATAATGTATTAAGTCTTCTCAAAGAAATACTTGGTAGATAATACTTTTTAATTTCTTAAGGTTTCCCGTGTGAAGAATATGATTCGGCCCCTGCCTAATTCTGGATCTTATCTCATACTCCAACTCCCAACTTGCTGTGTTCCTATCTAGGAGTATGGGGATCCTTTTTCTATACTTCGATCATGCTAAATTCATTCCTGCCACAAGATCTTTATACTTGCTGGTGCATCTGACTGGAACTCCATCTCAAGCCTCCATTTAAACTGAAGGCCTTCCCTTATCATCCAATCAAAAATAGCAACCTACCAAACACTTTCTATCCTATTCCCCTGGCTTTTTTTTTCTTTATAGCAAACATCTGAAAATCTTCTGTTCACTTTTTATTTATCATTCACTAGAACACAAACTCCCTAAAAACAAGGATCTTGTTTATCTTGTTCATTGCTAGGTCCCCTGTACCTAGAAAAGTGACTGGCACTGGGAATTCATACAATCGACAATCTTTGTGAGGCCCCCTCACCTGCCCCCACCCCACTTCTAAGAAATTATAAGCTCCCTGAGGCAGGAACCATGTCTGCTATGTTGATCACTGCTATCTAGTGACTAGCATATTGCTTGGCATAATATTTACTAAATGAATAACTACTGGCAGTTACCATGCCACACTGTCATGTCTCTATTTCCTTCTATATCTTGCTTCCTTCTACTTGAAATACAGATTTTTTCTCCCAAGGTCAACTCCAACTCATTCCTTGAAGGTCGGCTCAGGTGTTGCTTCCCTGAAAGCATTCTGTAACTTCATAGGCCAAGTACATTGTCCTGCTATGCTGGAAGGCACCCCAAGCACTATACTGTATTATGAGTATTTACTGACTATACTCAGAAGTTTTTAGAAGTGGCCAGTACAGGTTTTTGCTCTGTCTTCCTAGCACAATGCAGCCAACTATTTAGGCAGTAAGGGAACTGAACAGACAAGTTCCTGACTAAAATCAAAGTACTTTCTCTCAATATCCAAAGTGGTAGTATAGCACAGTATCTGTGCATGTGTATATAAATCTAGATATAGTATATCTATACATATATAGAAAATGCTTAAAAGTCCTAAGTCCTACAGTAAAGACAAAATTTTATCTCTTATTAATTGTGTGACACTGGGTAAATCTCATATAAAGTAGTGATTTTATTTCATTTTCTCATTAAGTGGGGTAAGAAAATCTAGCTGGAAAAGTTTGTATAAGGATATAATGATAAACTTTTAAGCATTATATTCATCAGTGTCACAGTATCCAACATACTGAAGGTACAAAGTAGTTTTTGCATCCCATTTATTCGTTATTTATCTATGAATTTTAACTAAAATAAAGATCTTATACGCTTTTATTTTCTGACTAGTAGAACTAATTTCCTATGTTAGTAAATTTAAGAGACAGACTTAATTGTCACACAGTCTCTAAGTGCTTATTATACACCGGACACTGCCTAAGCACTTTATACACAATAATTCATTTGATCTAACAGAAACAGTCAGGAGGATTGTTATTTTTGTCATTCTACAAATAAATAAAGCAAGGTACATAGAGTTAAAAAACTTGCTTATGGTCACTGACACAGTAACTGATACAGCCAAAATTCAGAAAGTCAATCTGACAACAGAGCCTCTGTTTTTCTGAAAGGGGAAGGATTCTGCTGCCAGTTTTTTTCCATATCATGACGCAAATTTGCCATGTTCAGTAATTTGAAAAAATGTGTGACCTGGAGAAGCCAGGTTCTTTTGACCTTATTATTTGGACCAGTAAAGGAAGGGACATCAAGTTTTTTCCTTGTTAAAAATGAGCCACATGCGAGCAGAAGAACTTTCTTCCTGTCCATTATTGTCATTCCCCCTGGAATGCATTTCCAGTTTTAAAATAGAAGTGATGATGGAAATTAGCTTCAAAATAGGCGATTTCAGTTTATAGTTAAGTTTTACAGGATGCAGCTATAATATCTATATTCAGGACTCTGGAAACATTGCTTATTCTTACATATAGACAGAAAAGGATATTTTTTCAGCATATATAGGGTAGCTAGCCTCGCTGCTTGAAAGTTGGCTCTGACAGTTCTGTAGACAGCTTTCCGAAGACCGATGAGATGCTGACTGGGATGCTGTCCAGCTTTATTAAATGGGCAAGCAGCACTGACCCTGTCAAGCAAACTTGAAAAGTAAAATGTGATACAACTGTACAGGTGTCCTAAAGTTTTTGTTTTCTAAATCCACAAAATTCTATTAAACAGGAAAAAATTCTTTTTTCATTAGAAAATGGTTATAAATATTCCAACTCAGGTCTCATAAATAGATATTTCCCTGACACATATATAGCCACCAGAAAAAAGAATTGAAAAAAGAATACTTCCTCTGATACAGGGGGAGCAATTAATTTTAACTGAAATAATAGTAGAAACGTAGGGATATTTATTTAAGATACTAACTTTTTAATATAGATACTTTACCTGCTAGAATATACCAAAGTGGTACTACTTTACATTTAGTTTTCAAAAACCTGGTATCTACATTAAGTAGGAAAGCCTTAATTATAAACTTTCACGTTCTTAATATGCATTTACATATGTTTATCAATCATATTTTTGGTCATTTGTAACATTCAAATACTGTATAGAAATACATTCTGTACATTCATAAAAGTAGGGTAAAATTCCTTACCCACCTGCAGCCACTGGCACTTACCTACTCAAAATGAAGTAGGGGACGCAGAAAGATAACAGAACCAGTGGCCAACAGGGGAATGCAAGTAGAAAGGCAAAGTAAGGGTTACTAGGTAGGAGCATAGCTACTCTCAGAACTGTTCAAGAGGAAGCACATTTCATAAGTACTTTTCCAAAGGTAAATGGGGGACTACCTATTTGCAACCATGCCATATAAAGTATTATGCTTTTATAAATGAAATTATGATTTCACATTATAGTTTTCCAGACAATAGGCTTTCACCTAACTAGTAACCACTAGACAAAATATTGGAATTTAAAAATTTATTATACTATAAACACAAATTTGTAAAATAAGGCATCTAACTCAAAACTTAAAAAAAATGTTAAACCAAATTAAAACACATTCAGGCATTAAAAATCTATAAAAAACAGGACAATGATAGAGGCAAAGAAGGGTTCAATTATTTGCTAGAGAGGAAAAACTGAGGCAGAATAAAACAGCACTGATATTTTCAACATATGGACACTATTGTTTGTGTTCCATTTTACTCAGTCTTAAAAACGAAAATATTTCTAAAAAATTATGATTCAGAATTTATTATTCCTCATAATTTTTCAATCCATTTACATTAGATGGACACAGTACAATTTTTCCAAAATTTTTTCTGTCTGCATTTGAGTAGATACATGTCATAATCCAGAAGGAAATCATGCTCAACGGGCCCATTTTAGCTCTTCATTCTAACTGTATACATATGGATAAAAATGGAACAAGGGCAAAAGGCACAGAACCATCAACACAAAGCTAAGCATTAACTGGACACATAGCCACTCTGCTTAACCAGTCAGTCCTCCTAATAAAATGTTGTACAAGTCAAGAATGAAAAGGAGCTATTACTTTTATTTAGTATAATTTTTAACTTTTAAAATTTGACATTCAGTATTTGTTATGCTCTATCAATAAGTGGACTTTACAATGGAAGGACCAAAATTAACAGACACTGAGGGCTGTTACATTTTGAACTGAGCAGAAAGAGAAGTTATAACAATCTCTCTCATGTCTCAGAAGTTTTAAACACTATGCCAAAACACAACAGAGTGAAGAATGAGATGACTACTGGAGACTCTTCTACTTCCCTATTTCCTGATGTTCCAAATACAGCCTTTATTCAAGATTATTTAGGTTCTTCTCCAGAGCATGGCAGAGTGACCACCCAAAGTTCTTCTGCCCACCTCTTTTCATGATTTTCCAGATACAACTAATTAAGAGCAATAATTTTTCTTTACCATATACTTACTTCCTCCCACCTATAGGCTACAAAGGTTATATAAATTATTAAATATACTACAGTACAACTGTCATGTGTGAGTATTTAGGTGGCAGTGTACAGAAAACCAAATTTGAGTCAGACGGGATGAACTTGAACATTTGCTCAACCATTTATAACTGTATGCCTTTAGCTGTATGCAAAACTGTCTAGAACAGTATATGGAACAAAACTGGTGCTTTCCCTTTAATAACACAATAAATAGGCTGTCTATCCGGCACCTTAGTACACTTACAGCTAGACTAATGAATACTTAATTTCCTGTATTAACTGTCAGTGAGAGCATATGAGAGTGTCAGTGCCATAATACCTCCTAATATTAACCTATAGAATATTATTAATACATGGCAAGATTTTTCAGAATGAATTCCTGTGAGTTCATATATCATGTAAACTGAGTAAAGAGAGCATCAAGGGGTGAGTAAAGGGAACAAATATTTATTGGGTAACTATTGCATGCAAGGGTTATATATATATAAATATATACATATATATTATATATATATATAAAATATTAAGGTATCTATATTATCTCATGTAACCACATGGTAACACAGAGAAATAATCATGATTCTCAAAGCACTTTGGTTTCTCAAAGTAAATAAACAGACTCACACTACTTATTAAATCTAGCATATAATGTATTTATTTCTTCACTTAGTAGTTAACAGACTTTAATAAATACTAAAGAGAAATCTTGTTTTTTCTGTAAATACAATACAGAAATGAAAATAGGTAATAAATATTCTAATTTAACTAGGTAGTAGAAAATAGTTATTTAAAAAATAAAATGAAAAATGAACTCACAGTGTAAATCCTCTGGAAATGACTTCAGTTTCTTGAATGAGACGTAAAGCTTTTCTCACAAGGTTAGTAAAACCTCGGCTATTTGTCACTATATCTTCCAAATAGACATTGTATTTTTTTAGAGTTACTTGTAGTTTTGCTGTCCTCCATAATCGCAAAGCTCTTATGATCAGATAAACAAATAGAATCACTCCCCATACCAGCCAGGAAGATACAATCCACCAAGTGGGAAGCATAACAAGCAAACTAATGAAGGCAAATACCACTGAGACATCCCTGGAACAGAGAAACCAAGAAAATGATATCCATCAGTCTAGAGAAAGATGAGTTTCCCTAGTCAGTTTTCTAAAATAGATAAAATGCTAGCTTCTCTATAAACTATGACTTTATAAAATATGACATTTTAAAAAATAACTTGAAACAGTTAAAAAATATCTAGTACCACTATCTAGTTGCTAGATACCACCATCTAAAGCTAGTAAGTTTAGGTGATCGATATATATGTGTCTTTTGAATAAACTTTTTTTTAAAGATATGTACTCTTTAACCTAAAAACAATTACAGATTTTAAAATCTGATTTTATAAATATAAAAGTAAAAAGCTTTAATTATATTAGTTTTTAATACTAAAAACCTTATCAGCTATACTCCAATACAAAATAGTTAAAAAAATAACTAAAAATGTTTCATATTTGGAGATATTATGAGGTCTTTTTTCCTAAAATCAGACTCTAATTATTTGTGCAAAAACATATAATATCTCAACAAACTATAAGCATTTTTCCAATTAGAAATACTATACACTTTATAATTGCTTTGAATAAAGTCATCTAATTTTAAGTTGTCATCATTACAATTCTGGAATATAGATCTTTATTGAACACCATAATATGCACAAGCTTGTACTTTCATACTGCTTTAAGTGAAATTAAAATACATCTGATATTTTTTAATTTAGGCAAATTGTAAACCTATAAATTTCTTTCAAGCAGTGAAGGCTTTGATGAAAATGTTTACATATAAGAAGGCAAATACAGGGGAGTTGTATCTAAGGATATCCAAGAAACATCATCATTAATACTTGAAGATAGTTACAGTCAAACTATAAATAAAATAACATATGACAATATTTAATAAATATTTAATATTTGCCTGCCAAAATCTCCCTTGGAATTAGGCAATATTGGTAATGTCATAGCAAAATCTCATCATATACTTTTATATATTTATAGCAAAATCTGTAAAGGATTTATAGGCCTCAGAGTTGCTTAATCACCTTTGTGGTCAAAGGAATACAAAGTTGTAAAATTCTGAAAACCCATGATTCCTTTTAGCAGCTCCTTAAGTTCTTAAATTTTTAAATGGTACAATGCTGTACACTTCACCATGACAGTATCTGAGTAACTACACATTTGGAAAATACTATACATGGCTACCTGTTACAAAATGAAGCATTTGTCAACATGACAGGAAAGACAGATAAATTCAGAACACTGAGGCCAATGAATGTAACTGCCCATATGACTTGAATAGTTTGAGCAATAATTTAGTTCATTTAATAAACTCATATTTTAATAGAGGATATTACAGTTCTGAGTATATAATTCCTTGTTGCTATACATATATGTATTTCTTTTTTAATAGATGATGGCCCAGCACTTGTGCATTAAACACAAACACTTCAAGTGTGGACAAGTTTTAAGACAATTTGAATTGTCTATGTTCCATATTATCTCATCTCACCTAACAAAGTAGGAATCGACTGTTTATCTCCATGTCTCATACTCTCCTGGGTGTCTCTACAATGTAATTATTATATAATCTATTAAGGGTAAAGAAACATGAAGAACTGGCTAGGACTTCATGCACACATGTGTATAAGAGAGATTCTTTTTTGGCATATGTTAATCCTGCTTATTGGGCTGTTATACACAGAACTAATTACACTGAGTTGCAAGTACATAATAATCAAACTGGATGTTTCTTCCCACTTTCATTTTAAATAGTATTTAGTTTAGTAAGGTATCCTCTTTTTTAAAACCTCTGGCATATCATTATATTAATTATAATGCTAAAATGTTTATAATGCCTTTATAATGGAGAGGATGATGACGGATTTCCTTTGCTAATACTCTAAATGTAAACAAAGGATAGATGTTTTCTGGACAGTACCAAATATTAGGGGTTGCCAGGGAGCAAAGTGTTGGGAGGTGTCCATTTTCCTGTTGTTGAGGTTGCCCTGCAGACAGGATACTGGGATCAAGCAGCTCAATCAGCTCCACATCCTCTTGTAACAGGACTTCCTGTTGCAGGATAGTATGGAGTGAGTCGAGTCGGAATCCAGTATCCTGGCCATTGAAAGACCAGAAGAGAGGTATTAATACACACATAATTTTGTGTTAAATATTAAGCTCCTACCATGCTAATAAAATTAGAGGTGTTTATTTTCAGTATAGACTCCAAGAAGAAGAAAGTCAATCAGTTTTCAATCTGATGTACAGGGCTATATTTTCACAGTAAATATGAAGCAAAAAAAACAGAGGTAGACATCACTGAGCCACATACTGAGTGAAATATGTATTTTTTATAGATTAATAAACCTGCTAAGCCTAATTAATTAAATGGCTGCAAAACAACATGGAAAATATAATCCTCTAACAGATATGCTGTCCCTAGACACTGTAACAATATAGCCAACATCTAAGAATAACATCAGCAGGACCAAGGCTTTCTAAAAATGAAACATTCGAATATTAAAAAAATACATAATTAAGGAATATAATATAAAATGATCCTAATGTGTGCATAACATTTTATAGTTTACAAAATGCTTTCACATATATCAGCTCATTTATTTCTCCCTCTTTCCCTTTTATCCATCTATTAAGGAATATCTTATAACATACCAGGCAACATGCTTGACACCAAAAGAACAAAAAAATAAACAAGACATACAAGTCTTTACTCTTAGAGAGTTCAGAGTTTAAAGGCGAGGGCTGAAAGGTAAGCAGTTAAAATATAAAGTGCAGACAAGTGTGACGAGGTTTAACTAGGTTATTATGCACATGGCACTGAGGGAACAAACCGCAACAAAGAGAAGGTGAAAGAGCCTAACTGTAGTTTTAAAGAATACACAAGAACTGAGCAGATGAAAGAGTGGGAAGAATGGGATGAGACAGAATGAAAGCAAGCCTCTTCTAGCGTGGGGACCTGTAAGTGATCAGTATTAGTTTTGGGCAGAGCGCCCCTGGTAGAGAGATGAGATGAAGCAGCGATGTTGGAGCAGCTCTCGCAGTGACCCTGTCACGTACATGATCATTTTCTGTCCATGCTATAGAGGAAAAACTGAAGCTCAGAGAGACTAAGTAACGTTCCAGAATTCTGATTTTAAATCATATGTCTTTGGTAGTTAGTTTATTCTGCTTCCCTGAATATAGTCTTCTCTATCAGAAAATTTAAATTTTTATTTTGCATTAGATTCAGGAATAGAATGATCCTCTTGTATGATAAAAAATAAAGAGAACTTGCAATGGACAAGGCCTTTAGCAATCAAAGTAAAATCAGTTAGGTCTAGGGTTTCCTCTTCTTAGTTAATCATTCCCAGACCACAGAATCTAGCCCGAGCTCATCATGAGGACTTAAGCAAGAAGGCAGTGATCCATACACTATAAGTATATATCCTCTTGATCATGGGTTGTACACACCACTTTCAGAGAAGAATACTTTTAATATGAAGCTTATTTGGATATATTTCTTATCAATAATAATAATAAAAAAATCTCAGTGAAATGCAGATCTTCTGTTTAGCTCGATATGGATTTTACCATCCACTGATACACCCCGGACGCACCTCTGCAGCACTTTTATGGCTCATGTTTGAACCACTGCTTCCTCTCTTCCTCTCTTTTACAATCCTAACATTAGGAACTACTTAATTTTTTGAGATTCCATCCCACTTTCATAAACAGAGAACAGCACGACTTACTTGATACTACTGTTGAGGGTGGGAAGGGGGACAGGCTGGAGAATATCGACAGCATGTGGGCAGTGGGAAAGCAGGGAGGGCAGTGGGTGGAGCAGGATATCTTTTCAAGTAATCCTTGAAATAAATCTTCATGTATTGGCCTTACAATTTGGTTTGGATTCCCCCATCAGACAGGACCATATTCAGATGTAAATATTAAAAATAAAACTTTTGCTACAAAAACTTGAAAGCAGGCCTTTTATGAGACTTCTATGTACTTATATATGGGTAAGTTTAAAAGAAGCCTAATTAAACGAAGGCCAACACTGACAGAGAGGGGGAAGCTATTAACATGCTGCTGCTGCTGCTAAGTCACTTCAGTCGTGTCCGACTCTGTGCGACCCCATAGACGGCAGCCCACCAGGCTCCTCCGTCCCTGGAATTCTCCAGGCAAGAACACTGGAATGGGTTGCTATTTCCTTCTCCTATGCATGAAAGTGAAAAGTGAAAGTGAAGTCGCTCAGTCATAGATGGGAGCTATTCCTCTACACAGGCTCTCTTATGGACCTGCTGCTTCATCAGGAACTCACTTTCTTCAACACCACTCCTTGGCATCAGATCTGCTGCAAAACTGGGATAAAGCCTCCCCAAAACCAGTGTGATTTGAGGTAGTATTGATAGTATTGGTGCTCTGTGGTGGGGGGCAGGGGGAGAAGTGTACTGTGTGAACTTTGGCTTACCCTCAACAAGTCTTAGTGTCAAGACTTAGTGCCTGGGTTTATATCCTGGTCCCACAACTTAAGCAAGTTAATAATTTTTCTGTTCAGTTTCCTCATCTGCAAAGAGGATAATAATAGTATCCACTTCATAGGGTTGCTGCAAGGATTAAATAAGTCAGTATTTATAAACTGCTAAGAATATCTGGTGCACAGTAAGCACTATGTAAGTGTTAGCTGTTAGTACATATGAAATACTTAAAAATACAATAAAGAAAAGCATGTATAATATAAAAACTTACAGAACATAGCACACATAATTATTACAAGGTTGTTGTAGAAAAGAGATCTAATAGGCCCTGAGGAACAGCTAGTACTGCTTATTGTAAAGATTGCAATAATAGAAAAATGGAACACAATTGACATATAATAGTACATATATGGAGACTAGGCAAGGAATAAACAAAAAGGAAGACTATACTGGGCTGATGAAATATTGGTGGATAAAACTGGAAAGGTAAATTAAGGCCAAATTATGCAAGCACTTTCATGACAGTCAAAGTGATGAACTGGACTTGACTTGGTAGGTAGCAGGTATCTTTTTAGAATCTAAACAGGGAAACAGCATGAGAAGATAACTTAGGAAGAATACTGCCTGGATGGAATGAAGAGTATGAGAAGCACTTCTAAAGAATAAAGAGATTTCTATTGTGGCCCCACATATTCATGTGTCAATTCAAAGATCTTACACACTTTTAAATATATAGTGCTATTTAATTAAGCTGATGAGGATCAGGTGAGACAACTTCTGGGCAAGCACTTTATAGGCTAAAAAGTGCTTAGAGAGTGCCAATACCACTAGTATCATAGTTGCTATTAAATTTTTTTTTTAATCTTTAAGAAGAAAAGTACTACTTTAATGAAAATGAACAATAATAAAATGTTCAGATATCATGGAGCAATTGCCAGTATCTTTATAAAAGGAAAGAGGGACTCATTCAATATCTGTATAGCTAACAAAATTTTAAATATTTATAATCAAGGGAAAAAAGTCAAGCAACTTCATACCAGATGCCAACTGGGCAATTCCTTATTCTATTACTTGTGAACTATTTCTCAGGTATGTACTTCCTAAAATTCTCCATAATCTAGGCACAAAAGAGATGCATACAAAAGCTGGCACTTTAAAGTAAAACATGACATGAAGCATGCACATGGCCAGTGACAAAGACCCAAGAATGGGAAGATCAGGACTACACACACGACGATTAAACAGCAGAACATGTATGTGCACCCTAGACCTTACCACAGGGCTGCCCTCAAGGCTCAGCAAAGAACGGGCCACGTGAAGACTCTGCCCACAGGGCAGGAGACGCGGGTTTGACCCAGGGGTAGGGGAGATCCCCTGGAGGAGGCCATAGCAGCCCACTCCAGAATTCTTACCAGGAGAGCCCCATGGACAGAGGAGCCCGATGGGCTACAGTCCAGGAGGTCACAGAGAGTCAGACACGACCGAAGAGGCCAAGCACGTACCTTACCACAGTCCTAGTATCACTGAAGAATGAAAATGGCTCCACCTGGATAGAGACGATATTCTACGTAGATGAAAGGATACTTCATTGACCTTCTCAAAACCCTACGAAGATGAACCCTAAACAGAGAACCTACCCAAATGGATTGCTAAAAAGGTAATTTTAGTCAGTAAAAACAACACACAAACTAGAGAGGTGGTACATTATAACGGAAAGAGCCTGGGCTTTGAAACCAGGAGACTTGAGTTCAAATTCTGACTCATTTTCTAGCTGAAAATTTTTGAACAACTCTCTTAATGAGTATTCTTAATCAAACTGAAATATGTGAACCTCAGGCTTTCCAAATGGTAAACCATACTGAACCTTACACAGTGTTTAGATTACCAAATCAACATGTGAAAGCACTTTGTAAACATCCTTTAATAATTTATAATAATAATAATTAAATTATCATCTTAAGGTCACAGGCCAGCAGAAGATTCTGAAATCTGCTTACTTGTGAGAGAATTTTATTTTTTTAAGCTATACTACCTATTATTAGTATTAGGATGTAAAAACATTGAGTCACTCCTTGGGGCTCAGAGATCAAGCAAGTCTTTGGGAAATTCTCTGATTTATCAGTCCCAGAAGACTAAATTTTATACATGAAGTTGTCAGAGAACGGTGGGCTTCCCTGGTAGCTCAGATGGTAAAGAGTCTGCCTGCAGTGCAGGAGACCCGAGTTTGATTCCTGGGTTTGGAAGATCCCCTGGAGGAGGGCACGGCAACCCACTCCAGTATTCTTGCCTGGAGAATTCCCATGGACTGTAGCCTGCCAGGCTCCTCTGTCCACGGGGTAGCAAAGAGTCGGACACAACTGAGTGACTAAACACACAGCACAGAGAATGGTAAATTAATGATAAATAAATTAGGGAGGAACCACACTCTTGATTTTGCCCAAACTTTGTAATCAAAGGCTGTGGAATAGAGACAATCAAGTTCCTAATGAAAAGAGGGAAGATCCCACTAATGGATCTATTCTCTAACTCACTGAGAAGAATACTGGTCAGTGGAGGAAGATGGCAGCAGGACATGAGTAATCTAACAAATAGGTCTTCAATAACTATCAGAATATCCTAAACTCAGTGGCTAACAACCTCTTTGAAGATCTATGAAATACTACTGAGTCCACATGCAAAGATTCCCAGTTATTGAAGAATCTCCTTTTTCTTTTTCCTTAGGTGATAGAACCTTTTTTAACACTTCACAAAGCGGATAATCTCCTTTTAGAGAACAGCCCAGAATTTCTAATTAAAATTAGTCACTGCCCAAATCAGTAGCAAAATAAATTTGGAATCATTGATTTTCTCATTGGAAAAGAAACTGGAGCCCTGAAAAGTGACCAAAAAGTAAAGTGAACACTTACCAACTTGTGAAGCAAGTCATCATTCTTATTGGACTGAGCCAAAATCCAACTCTTGATGGTTTCAGCCACTTTTAACAGGATGCCTTGCTGAAGGAGAGGAATGACATTGTGCAAGATTATTAAACCACAGCTAAACATCAGAAAAACTTCAAATAACCTACTTCTAATTAATCACATTTTTTTAAATCAGAAAGTTAAAATCATCTAGGTTGTATTATATGCTATATTATGTGTTTTGCCAGTATGTCTCAGTCGCCTTACTGATCCCAAATTTAATCATATATCAGAATCACCTGGAGATTTCAGCTAGGAACAAACTCCCAGGCCCCAAAACTAAACGTTCAGATTTAGTGAGTTTGGAATGAGACTTGGAAACCATTTTATCTTGGGTACACTATGTATTAATACTACCTATGTCAACACGATGACAATATGGGTATTTCAAAATGAAAAGCAAGTGCTCCGAGTTCTCAAATATTAAGAACATTTCATTCTACAATATTAAAGCAGAAATTTATTTTAATAATTTTAGAATAACTGTCTCATATTGAAATATGTTATATTATTGAATCAATCAAAAATTCAGTTTACCTTATTAGCTCATTTCCTGAGCAGGCCAGTAAATGGAGTTTACATTCACTGAGTGACTATAATATTCCAGGTACTGAAAAAGGGTTATGGGAACAAAGATGAATATGCATAACTGCTGTTTTCAAGAACTTAGAAGAGACAGTATAAATAATTACAAACTAATGTAAAATCTGGGCTTCTCTGATAGCTCAGTTGGTAAAGAATCCACCTGCAATGCAGGAGATCCCGATTCAATTCCTGGGTCGGGAAGATCTGCTAGAGAAGGGACAGGCTACCCACTCCAGTGTTCTTGGGCTTCCTTTGTGGCTCAGCTGGTAAAGAATCTACATTACAAGATTCTGTAATGCAAGAGACCTGGGTTCGATCCCTGGGTTGGGAAGATCCCCTGAAGCAAGGGAAAGGCTACCCACCTCCAGTATTCTGGCCTAGAGAATTCCATGGACTGTTGCAAAGAGTCGGACACAACTGAGCGACTTTCACACTTTCTTTCACAATGTAAAATCTGGAGAAGTGTAGGAGGAAGGAGTTCAAGAGGCACTGACACTGGCACTAAGCCCGGGCAAGGGACAGGATGAGTACAGGAGGGAACCATGGAAGTGTATGCCATTCAGACAGTGGCAGCTAAGAGTTTGGGCCAGCAAAGAGCCAAGGGAAGAACAGAAGAGTAATGAAGTTTAAAAGGTACACTGAGATAAATTTTAAAAGACTCTGGTCTTAATAGTTTTGAATTTATCCTATAGACTATGAGGAGTCATGGAAGGTTAATACAAGGAAGCGAAACAATAAAAATTTGCACGTTAGAAAAATAACTGGCAACAGAGCAATGGCTGTACTAGCAAGGAATGAGTGTAGCCAAGAAGCATGATTAGGAGGGTACATAATAGTCCGGCTAAATAGTGATAAAAGCTTGTACTGGGGTAGTAAAAACAGCAATAACTAAGGATTAGATGTTAGAGAGAAAGAAGTTGAGTCACTTACTGACCAAATCAATGTTAGAGTGTGGGAAACTGTAAGATAAATTGAGAGGGTAGTAATTTGGGAATACACAAAAATATTTTCTTTGTTTCAGGGGTACTGAGAAAAAGAGCTCTGCTTTAGGCATGTTGAATCTGAGTTTCCTGGAGCACAGGCAGAATGTCTAACAAGTATCTGGAACTCAGTGAAAATGGAGAATAGAAAAAAGTGCCAGTGAAGGCAAGAAAGTAGATGAGATAGTTCAGAGAAAAAGAGACGAAGCAGAGGACTGATGCTAAAACTTTATGGAAGGAATGTTTAAGAATAATCCCAGGAAAAGAAACCAGAAACATATACAGAGAATGAATATTCATGAGAATACCAACACAGAATACTCAATAAGTACCTAACAATCACATTTTTAAAAGAAAAAGACTAAAAATGGTGACTGTTTCATCATGAACTCATACAGAAAATTTGCTTTCCAAAGGAAATAACTGGAACTTCATCACTTGAACAGAATCTGGGGGGCAATTCTAAAAATATATCCCCCAAGAAGGAACAAGAAATCTTTTTAAAATTTAGCTGCCCCAGATTTATATAGAAAAAACTCATTTTAGAGAGATGTACCTTATGCAGTTGGAATGTGTGACATGAAGACCAAATGAACTTTCTAGATATGTGGTATTCTGGCTATGCTTTTAACTACTCTTCAATTTCTGAGAGGATGAACTTTTAAACTCTTATTTACAAACTAATAACAATATTTCTAAATGTAAAAATACTGTCATAAATGAAAATAATTAAATACTTATAAAACCCAAGTTTACACACACACACACACACACACACACACACACACACACACACACGAGTTCAATGTCCATCTCTGGCCCCAACACTATCCCTTGACCCATCCTTTGTCTTTTGTTGCCAAGTAATCTCAAATTCAAATTTTAATCTATGAATCATCTTTTAGATATATCTTTAGGTTTTGCTTTTAAAACTTTCCCCAGAAATATCTGTATTTGAAAGGAGCAAGGAGAAGAAAGGGTTGAGGTGGGGAGGACTCTCGAACCTGGTTCTGGTCTGTGGGCGCTCTCACTCCCTAACTCCTTCCTTGTGAGAATGAGCTAAAGAAAACACCGTTTCCCTGGTGTTTACTCTGCTGTTGCATTTGGGTCCAGCTTGGTTACTTCACATTTTAGAGTTTTTTCCTAAGAAGAACAAAAGGAAAGATCGTTCCCTTTCTATCTTACAGAGTAAATGATTAAGTGAAAACTTTAAAATCTTCCTGCCAAAAGTAACTGACTCCTATATTAAAACACTGATTAAACTAGAATGCTCAAGAAATGAGGTAATCTGGTTATATTTTTTTCTGTTAGAATTCTTTTTGTTAAAACTGAAATGTACTGGAATATTTTATTTTAGTAAATACAATAATAGAGCACAAATAGAGCACTAATAGCACAAGTCAATCTAGTGAACCTAATTATTGGTGGCTTCTTCAAGTACCTCAGCCTCACAATGCTGTATATCAACTATGAAATACTTACTATATAAAAATATATGATACTGCAGACATAAAGGGCAGCACAAACTGAGGTATCTTTGAAATAATTTATTAAATATTAATTTGCTTTCTTTAAAAAAATATAAAGAAAAAAACTCTAGTTATTGTAGGAGTCCTATAGTTGGGCTCCCATTAAGGTATTGATTTCTGCTTTTTTTTGTTTTTTTTTTCTGGTTTACTCTAAGTAACTTCAATATTTAAATAAGCAATATATTTTGATCCTCAATCATATTAATTTCAATTCATTATACAAATTACCCATGAGATAGTCCAAAATACCAAGGATTCATGTTTATAAACAGATACATACCACTGATGAAATAAAAATTAAAGTCTTAACCAGTGCAGGGGAAGAACATGGAGGTGCCAATAAGGTGTTTTTGGTAAGGATAAGGATAAAGGCAATTTCAATAAATCAGTAAAAGACAAGAGATTGAGTCATAGAGAATGAAGATGCCTTCTTACTTTTGGCAGGGCTCTTGCAGGAGGCTTTTGCTGTCCCTCTGTCACTGTGCTTTTTTCTGCTTTTGGTGACAGAGAAGAACATACTTCAAAGTCTGTGTGTCCCAGATCCTGTAAGTACTGGTAAAGTGGAGAATTCTGAAAGAGATATAAAATAAATTTCAAGTTAGAACAACATGGGTTTGAACGACAGGGCTCCACGTTGATGATTTTAAAAAATACATACACACTACAGCACTACATATGGAGGGTGGCTAAAGCCCAGGAAGAGGAACTGAGAGTAGAGAGGACTGACTGTGAAGTTATATGCAGGTGGGTGCCTCGGACCCCCCTATATTTCAAAGGTCAACTGTATTTCAAAAGTTTGAGAGACCAAATTCAACATTATGACAAATATGCCCAAACTGAATTATTTACACAATGCCACTTAACATCAGAAGAAAAACAAAAAACAAAAAAATCAACAAACAATTCAGCAGGGTTAACTCAATAAAGGAAAAACTAAATAAAATAGACATTCTTTGCCAGCAAGAAAAAATGAATTTAGGAATATAAATAGATTTAAGCAATTTCTTTGTCCAAATTTTTGTAGTATTAGAATAAATCACTTCAAAATAGCTAATTCTGGCTAAATATAGCTCCAAAAAGGACTCACAGTGAAAAATAGTTATTACTTGAAGCCAGGAAGCAATGATTATACGTATCAATTATAAATTTATTATACAGTCATACTGATTAAGTCAATCAGGCACAGATGAGTATTATGTATCATCTGTCAGCACTGAAAATAATTAAAACACCAAGAAAGTTACCAAAATAAGCTTACATACAAACATATGGTAGATAAGAGACAGTGTAGGTTAAGAACAAAAACTCTGGAGCCAAACTATTTGGATTTAGATCCCAACACTGCCTCCTACCAGGTTGGTAACCCATGGCGATTTATAATCTTTCTATGCTTCGGCTGTCTAATCTAAAAATAGGTATAATAATTAATACCTAAACGATAGGCTTCTAGGACTAAATAAATATAAAGCATTTGGAGCAGTCCCTGGCACACAGTAATTGTTCAATTTACACCTCAACTTTTTATAAGCTATGTGCCAAGAGCACGTTATGGAATAGAACAAACAGAAACATCTTTATCACTATTGAATGAAAATGCATGGTACAATTCTAGATAAATGCTTTACCATCATCATTACTACTGTTATTCCAATTTCATAGATGAGGAAAGAGTCACTCACCTAGAGAAAGCAGGATAGGTATGACTCCAAAGATAATGCTCTGAAATATTGTATTATATTACCTAAAATTATAAACAGCCTCCTGTGTTTAGAAAAGAGGACACCAAAGAAGCTTATGAACAGGTTAGTATAGAGAGACATGAAGCAAATGAATAATTACAAGAATGTACTGGTTGCTATGGAAACAGAGGAGAGGCAGCTAAATGAGACCAATACTTTGAGGGAATATTATCTTTGAGTCTGGAAAAATGAGGAAGAGTGGGAATTTGCTGGACTGGTAGCAATTCACTGGCTATTAATTTGAGAGAATAGGAAGATGAGTCAAATGCCTTCCTTTGAAGCTATGTTTAATCTCTCCTTTGAGAAAAATAGGCAAAGCATTTAAAAATAAGGAGAAAGAACTTATAGTCTCATCCCTAAATCAGACTTAAAATCTCTAGTGGCAGAAATGGTTAATCTTTCTATTACCCATAATGTATTTTCAAATATTGCCTTGAGTTACTCAATCTGTATTTTCAAACTGAACTGTGAACCCCATCTTGCTCTGCCCCCAGAATGGCAAAAGAACAATTATACTAGTTCTTTTGGGTTGACCTTTAGAAAAGTTTACATACTTAAAAAACAAAACAAAACCCAAACTTGTTTTTAAGACAGTAGAATCCTTTCTTTAAATGAATTCCCATGGGGAAGAACAATAAATAAGATGGATCAAAGTGGAGTTATTCTAATTCAAGGGTCATCAAACTTCTTTTGTAAAGGCCAGATAGTAAACATTTTAGGCTCTGCAGGCCATATGGTCTCTGTCCCAACTAATCAAGTATGCTGCTGTAGTGTGAAAGCAGCCACAGACAATACACAGACTGATGAATGTGGTTATGTTCCAATAAAACCTTATTTATGGAAACAGTGAACTTCTTATAGTTTTCATGTGTCAAAAAATAACATTCTTTTGATATTTTTCCCAACCATTAAAAATGTAAAAACCATTCTTTGTTCACCAGCCATATAAAAATAGGCACAAGAAAGAGTACAAACTGGCCCTACTCAACTAAGATCATGAGGCACACTTTTGATTGCTAACTGTTCTCTGGGAAGGGGCTTAGTGGGTTGGGACTGGGCCAAACTTCTTTTTACTCAAACTGTAAGGCCCTACCTTACAACAAACTAGCTGATGCTATGTCCAGCACTGACTACAATGTCCCTTCCTTTTCCAGCTTATGTCACAGCTCACAAAATAACAAAATGGAGTATCTGTAACAGATTTTTAAAAAGTAATCACACAGAAGAGTGTGATTATACATAAATACTTTGTTCTCCCTTTTTGTTTGCACATTAACTAAGAGCATACACACTCAGTTTGGATAACCACAGTCTGAAACACTATTTCGTATTTCAAAAAACAGAAAATATTAACTGTTTAGTAAATTCTGGCTTGCTAAGCCCATCACTGCTTTGTTTCATGGCTTTATGTAACTAAGTTTTTGGCAAAATTTCAGAGTAGACCACCTCTGGAGACAGGGGATGAAGGTAAAGCATGTTTAGTAAAATGTTAATTCTAGTCACTGTCCTATTTCATGTTTGTACTTCTCTCTTTTTGGCTGTTAATACAAATTGTATCACTTTCCAACACACATAAACAGTCTATATGAACACTAAAGCTTTATTGATTATATTTATGATAGCATTCTGAGTTGTAGCATTTACTGTTTTATTTGCACTTTTATGACTCAATAACCTTTGAGCCAAAAGAAAATTTAAAATTTAACCAATGATAACACACAAATGAAAAACAAACATCCTTTGGCTAACAAACTGAACAGCAGCCAAGATGAACTGACCAAGATAGACCTTGTAAGACAAATTTTTAATAGTGCAAAGGGATTTCTAGTAATTATTTTATATTAATTTAAAAAATGTTTGGCAGATAAAATTACCTTTCTCTCTGAAACTACCAAATCACCTATGCACTAACTGAAAGATTTCAGATAGCCAAATCAAGATCAGTGATTTTCAAAAATTTTTGGTCTCGAGACTCCTTTCTAGTCTTAAAAATTATAAAGGTTCCAAAGAGTTTTTGTTTATCTGGATGCCTAACAATATTTATCATATTAGAAATTTAAAACTAAAACATTAAAATATTTATCAACTTACTTAGAATAACAATAAACCTATTATAATAGTCATGGAAATAACTGAAAAATTTTGACAACATGATTTTAATGAATTTTTTTTCACAATGAAATAAATATATTGAGATAAGTGGACTGTTTTATATTTTCGCAAATCTCTTATTAAAGTCTGGCATAACAGGAGGAAGTGGCTGGATTCTTATATCTCCTGCACTGAATCAGCTGCAAGTTTTTATTTTGGATGAAGTATATAAAGAAAATCAGACCTTAAACAGATATGCAGTTGGAAAGGGAGGGAGTATTTCAAGTCTTTTCTGATAACTGTATTATCAAAAAACAGCCATATCAAACTCTACAAGTGAAAATTTTGAAAAGGTTTAACGTGAAATATGAAACCATATTGGTTGAGCTTTGCATATTTTGTACATGCAACAGAGAATGAGAGTGATAGAAGCAAATAACGTCTTAGTATAAAACTTGATCACCCAATATAAAACAAATTACTTTTTCTTTTACAACAAGGTGAAGTTCCATACTGCAACAGCCTTAACCACTATATTTGGAGGTTTGGGACTATTAGGCTTAAAAACGAATACACAGAAATTTCTGTGATTCATATAATGAGTATTATTATAGGTTGATTCAGCTTTAGAAAGGGACTCTGTGTGTGTGTGTGTGGAGGGTAAGGCAAAGTAGGTGGTGAAAAATAATTTTCTTTGTTATAACTTTTTCCCTTGGTTCAAGGGAACAGAATCAAAATGTTTCAGTTGTTTTCTTGAAGAGAAATTATTAGCACTGGATTCAAACTACAATTTTGTAGTACTGGAGAATGTTACTGCTGCCAAAAGAAATATGAGAAATCCAAGACACAGCATGTGGGAGCTTCTCCTCAGGAAATCCTTGTGGTTCACTATTCCTGTAAATTTTAGCTGACAGAAAACACACATCATAGCACCAGAAAGAATTTTGCTAAATGCAAAAATGCCAGAAGTCTTTGGTTGTGCTAAGATTGTTCTGATGGCTAAAATATACTTTTGTAAGAAAGATAAATAAAGAATAAGACAGGAAATCCCAATATTTTTGCTAAACAAGCACTGCAATAAAATGATTCTTTAAGTCCCAGATTACCTGCATTTCATGCTCCCCCCAAGACAGGAGATCCCATGCCAATGGATATATAAAGTTTGAACAACTCATTTTAACAAATTGTTTATTTTCTTCATGATTTATGGTGCATTCCACAGAAGTGCCAGTACTATTACTACTGATTTGCATTTTAAAAGATTAACTGTGCAGAAATGGAGGTGATGTGTAAAATGCTCTTATTAATATGTTCTCTCTTTTAAACCGCTTTAAACCTTACAGGTAAAGCAAGTTGTAATCTTTCAGGTTCTAGCCCAGAAAGGGAAGAAAAGGCCAAATCCAGCAGAATTAGACAACTCATAATAATAAATACTAACTAAAAATCCCCCTGTGTCGCAGGTAATATGTAGGCACAGGTGAGAAAACAAAACAGGTGAGGTCTTTGCTAAAAAAGTTTCATTCTATGACACTTCTGATAAAACTATGGTACACTCAACACTTTCCAACTAAGTTGATGGTTTCAGGAAAACCCTCTCTTGGTCTCAGCTTCCTGAAGTACAAAGAATGCCGTGAGGTTCTTAAACTTGTTCAGGTGGTAAAACAAAACTCTTGACATTCTTTGGGAAACAAGACAGAAAAGTGGTACATTAAAATGTAGAATTTTGTGCTAACTCAAATG